ATTTGAAACAATAATGGCAGAAAACTTCCCTAACCAGGTGAAGGAAAACAGACATACAAGTCCAGGAAGCACTGAGAGTCCCAAACAAGATGAACCCCAATAGGCCAGAAAAGCAGTCAGTTACCTACAAGGGAGTTCCCATAAGACTGTGAGCTGATTTCTCAACAGAAACTTTGCAGGCCAGAAGGGAGTGTCAAGAAATATTTAAAGTGATGAAAAGCAAGGACTACAAGGAAGATTACTCTATCCTGCAAAGCTATCATTTAGAATCGATGAACATAGTATAAAGTGTTTCCCAGACAAGAAAAAGCTAAAGGAGTTAGTCGCCACCAAACCATTATATGAAATGTTGAAGGGTCTTCTTGAAGAAAAAGAAGAATAAAAAAAATGAACAAAAATGTAATAAATATCTATCGACAATTGAATCTACTAACAAAATAAGCAGAACAAAAACATCCTCATAGATACAGAGAACATTTTGTTGGTTGCCAGATGGGAAGGGGAGAAAGGGGGACGGGTGAAAAAGGTGAAGAGATTAAGAAGTAAAATTGATTGTTAGACTAACAAACCTCAAAGGGAAGGGGGTCGGAAGGGTGGGAAGAAATAAACCAAAGAACTTCTATGCATATATGCATAACCAATGGACACAGACAACAGTGTGAGGAAAGATAGGAGTGGGGCGGGAGGAGGGGGTCAATAGGGGAAAAAGGAACATCTGTAACACATTCAACAATAAAGATAAGTTTTTTAAAAATAAAAAAATATCCTCTATGCCCTGGCCGGTGTGCACAGTGGTTAGAACACTGGCTCTTGCACCTAAAGGTCTCGGGTTCAATTCCCAGTCAAGGGCATGTACCTGGGTTGCAGGTTCTATCCCCTGCCCAGGTTGGGATGCGTGTGAGAGACAAGTAATCAATGTATCTGTCTCACAGGATATTTCTTTTTCTCTCTCTCCGTTCCTCCCACCCTCCCTCCCTCCATCCCTCCCTTCCACTCTAAAAATCAATGGAAAAATAATCCTTGGGTGAGGATTAACAAAAATAAAAATAAAATAACAGACGCCTCTAGTAAAGTTGATCAAAGGAAACAAATACATAAGCACTAAACAAACTGACTTTGAGTTCAAGAATATCCATAAAAATACATCAAATCCAAATAATTTACAAATATTCTATGGATAAGTAAGTCCTAATTATAATGTTTCAGAAATTAGGAAAAAAGCAGTTCCTAATGCCTCTTATAAAGCCAATTTCACAGTATACTCTCGATACCATACTAGGAAAGAATGTTAGGAGGTACATAATTACTTTTTCTTTTTTTTTATCCTCACCTGAAGACATTTTTCTATTTTTTGTTCAGATAGAGTGGAAGGGAGAGAGACAGAGAAACATCGACATGAAAGGGACACATCGAGTGGCTGCCACCCGCACAACCCAACCAGGGCCGGGGACAAACTGCAACCGAGGTACATGCCCTTAACGGGAACCGAATCCGGGTCTCTCTGAACTGCTGGCTGACGCTCTAACCGCTGAGCCAAACTGTCTACGGCTATAATTACTTTTTCAAACTCACTCATGAACATAAATGCAACAAATTACAAATTTTATAAGTACTAAAGAACTGAATTCTTAAGTATCTTAAAAATATGCTATCAAATTAGTTTTATCCCAAAGATGCAAGAGTGATTTAATGTTAGAAAACCTCATTCCCCACATTAACAGATTAAGGAAGAAAAAAAAAGACATGATGATTTTAACAGATGCTGAAAAACTTCTCATTTTAGATTAAAAAAATTTTTATTCTACTTCCCAGTCCAAGCCACCATCATCTATCTCTCACCTACATTATTGCATCAGTGTATGTACTAACTGGTTTGCCTGACATCTGTCCCCAGCACAGGACTCAAATTGGTCCTTTTAAAAGTTGCATCAGAGCCCTGGCCGGTTTGGCTCAGCGGTTGGAATGTCGGCCTGCAGTCTGGAGAGACCCGGGTTCGGTTCCCACTAAGGGCACGTACCTCGGTTGCAGTTTGTCCCCGGCCCTGGTTGGTCATGTGTATGGCAGCCACTCGATGTGTCTCTTTCACGTCGATGTTTCTCTCTCTCTCTCTCTTCCTCTTTCTCCCTCCCACTCTATCAGTACAAAAAATGGAAAAAATGTCCTCGGGTGAGGATAAAAAAAAAAAAAGTTGCATTAGATTGTACATCACTTTTATGATTAGAACACTCCATGGATCTCCAGAGCACTCAGAGTAAAACCCAAAATCCTCACCATACTCTACAAGGTCCTATATGATCTGTACCATTAAATCTTTTACCTAATGTTTTACTATGTTCTCCCTTGATCACAAAGCTCCAACCATGGCCAAAATGAAATAGAATAGGCCATTATTTATTTAAAAAATTGAATCAGCCATGGCTGGGTAGCTCACTTGGCTGGAGTGTCCTCCCATACTCAAGAGGTTGCAGGTTCGATTCCCAGTCAGGGCACATACCTGGGTTTTGGCTTTCATACCCAATTGGGGTGTGTACGGGAGGCAACCAATCAATGTTTGTCTCTCACATTGATGTTTCTCTCCTCTCCTTTCCTCTCTCACAATCAATAAAAACATATCCTTGAGCCCCACCAGTGTGGCTCAGTGGTTAAGCATCGACCCAAGCACCAAGAGTCACCAGTTCAATTCAAACATATCCTTGAGTGAGGATTTAAAAAAAGAAACTGAATCCATAGTGAGTTACCTTCCAAAACAGAAAGCACTGGGACCAGATGGGTTCACTGATGAATTCTACCAAACATTAAAGAAATTACACCAATCCTCTACAGTCTCGTTCAGAAAAAAAGAAGCAGAGGGAATACTTCCTAACTCAATTAGGTCAGCATTACCCTAATACCAAAACCAGACAGACATTACACGAAAACCAGATCAGGATCACTCATGGACATAGATACAAAATATCTGCAACAAATTAGCAAATCAAACAATGTATTTTTTAAAAACAGATTTATCCCAGATATGCAAGTATTTTGTGTTCCAAAGCACAATTTGGGGGAGTAGGGGGAGATGCAGCTTTACACATTCAAGCAATGGTCTGATACCACCAGCTGGATGTCCTACAATTTAACTCAATTCTAACACTGTCTGCCTGGAGATAGCTTCAGATTCTACACATGAGAGCTCAGTCCCGCTTCAGACACCAGTTGCAAACTCGGGTTGTAACCTGTGCTTCTGACTCACTGGCCAGAAATTGGAGGTGCCAACGACCCCCACATTGGGTTTTAGAACGTTCAGGTTGTTACCTGCATTTCTTACTGACTGACTATAAATCAGTGGCTCCCACAACTCCTTCTTTTGGCTTCATTAATTTGCTAGAGCAGCTCAAAGCACTAGATTTTCCTAGATTACTGGTTTATTATAAAATATATAACTCAGGAACAGCCAGACGGAAGAGATGCATATGGCAAGATATGAGGAAAGGGTGTGCAGCTTCAGTGCCCTCTCCAGGGTTCCACTCTCCCCAAATGTCCATGTGTTCACCAACCCAGAAGCTCCCTGAACCCCATCCTTCTCGGTTTTTATGGAGACTTCATTACATAAGTATGATTGATTAATGCATTAGCCATTGTCAACTGACAGTGGCTTCAAACAGATCCCTTACAGCAAGACAATCACATGAGTCAAAACATACTGGCACATTAGTGGAATCTCGTTCTGTCTTTAATAACTATCCAGTCCATCTTATAAAAATTTCTCCCAGGCTTCCATGTGATCTTGTTAGGTTCCAAAAGCAAGAGTGGTCTCAGCAATATATGGCTTTGCCTTTTCAGGCATCTAGTATAAATGAGCTAAGAGACAGTATTACCTCTTGCTCTGAGCCTCTTTCGAGGTGTTAATACTACATTTCCCAATTATATAACCCAGGTGTCCATTCCCTTCTCTTCAAACGTTTCCACCTTTGGAAGAGAGATTCAGCCACTGTGGTCTAGACCACAGGCAGTAACACTAGTCTGGCAAGTTCTCCCCCTCCGGCCATTTCTCTTCACGTTGGGTAAGGTTACACAGACGCAGTACTAGTGGACTCTATGACCAAGCACCTGCATACCTGGATATTAATGAAATAAAGGATAAACACCCCCCCACCCCACAATGACAGTGAATTACAGGTATTTCTGAAAAGTCAATTGCAAAAGCAAATCTGAGTTCCAGACTGGACTCTGGGACCAAGTGCTCAAGCATTGTAACATACAACCTCTAAGACATTATTTCAGAAATGAAGAGGAAACGTTGACTTTTCTCTGAACAGACTTTTTTCTTGTACAGCTTGTAGGCGATGTTAAGTAAACAGTTTAGAAACGAGACCCAGGTTGGTGGAGTGGTTCTCCGTCACACGTCCTGAGCAGCACACTGTCCTCTGCAAAGCGGCTCGGCCCACCCGGCGGAGGCCTGATCACGTGTGACAGCTCCGGTCGTTACACGGGTGACCCTGTACTCACGAGGAACTTACCGAAATGAAGAATGCGGTTCACTTTCTTGAGTCACAGAACATACTAACTAGTTATAAAAACTATGGCGTAAACGCAGGGGTGTAAAGGGCGGTTAAGCCAGGTAATGTTCTCCCCCGCAAGGGCTGTCCTGTCAAGTTTAAACATTTGAATTTTAAAGTCGTTCTAAACCCCTTCCAGAATTGGAAGTAGAGAGTCAGACCCTCGGGTGAGGAACAGACGGGCAGAGACGCCCCCACGTCAGGCCAGCCCTTCCCCGTGCGGCGCCGGCTCCTCCCGGAGCAGCAGCGCCGACACTTCCTGTCCCGGCGGCCGCAGCCAAGCACTTCCGGCTCGAGCCCCGGAAACCCGGGCGGGCGGCCAAGAGGAGCACACCGCGCCTGCGCGCCCAGGCGCAGCCTCTCCGCAGCCGCCGCATCATTGCGTCACCGCCAGCCTGGCTGGGACGTCAACGGGCGGGAGTTTTTCAAAATGGGAGCGCGGAGGCGCCGCCCAGGCCTCGGAAGGTGCCCGGGAGACCCTTCGGTGGCAGTGCTGTCGTCGCCAGGAGTGGCGGCCTAGAGAGCAGAGCCTGATGGGCGCCAAGAACTGCCGGCTGCTGGGAGCGTTGCCTCGAAGGGACTGCGTGAAGGGAGCCGAGCCCGGGAGCCCGGGCCGGGGCCTGGAAATATGGCGACCTGCATCGGGGAGAAGATCGAGGTGAGCGGACGCGCGGTCCTCAGCGGGGCGGGACCCGCGACCTCCGCCGGCAGGGTACCCGGAGAGGCTGACGCCTGCGGGTGGGCGCCGAGGTGCTCTGGGAGGGGCCCAGCCGCCGGGAGCCCAGATGTTTGGGGGCGGAGCGACCCGCCCCACCGAGCCTCGGGGTGGCGGCCCAGGTGAGTCGCTCGCGGCCCCGCCTTTCTGTCCCTAGACCCCAGGCTGCTTGTCTGCGGTCCCGCCAGAGCTGCCGCGCTGGGGCCGGGCATCTCCAAGGGGATGGCGGTTACCCGCGGCGGGAGCTGCGGCGGGATCCCGGCCAGGCCCCTGGCTCCCTGGGATTGGCTGGAGGTGGGAGGAGGGTGCTGAGGCTGCGCTGAGGCTGAGGAACCAGATATTAGGGAACTCTCCCTGGAGCCCAGCCTGGAAGCTCAGGGAGCCCCGCGAGGCGTCAACATGCTTTCCGGTCCAGACACCGGCTGTATCAAGGTGTCAGACTTGCGTGAATTTTGAATGCAAATGCCCCTCTCGATCCCTTTTATCTTCTCTTTCCAGCCCCTTCCTGTCTTTCTTCCTTTCTACTCCTGTGAGTCATCACACATATTCTTTAACTTTTAAGGATTTTAAAGTTGGAAATCTGCTTGGTAAAGGATCATTTGCTGGTGTCTACAGAGCTGAGTCCATTCACACTGGTTTGGAAGTTGCAATCAAAATGGTAAGAAGACATTTATCAACTTCTCACCTCTCCTAGAGAAGTGTACTGCTTGAGTGAGATGTCAGAAACTCCTTGCCTACCAGCCTTTTCTTTGATTATGGTGTAAAGAACTTTTTGCTTAGGCAAAATAAAATAGTTCCACATCCAGCAATTTAAATTAGGGGTATCTTAGGAGATCCTTGATCGTGATTAAATAAGTATTTTATCCTCATTAATGTTCAGTAGACCTGGTATCTGTTCTAATTTTACATACTTGGAATCATTTGGTAGAAATCAAATAAATAATGATTTGTTTTAATAAGACTACACTTGTGCATAGTTCTATATTACACTAACAATCTAAAGAACTATTCTTGATTGTTAAGAGTAACATAAGCAATTAAGAATTTCTTATCTAGCCCTGGCCGGTTTGGCTCAGCGGTTAGAGCGTCCGCCTGCGGTCCAGAGAGACCCGGGTTCAGTTCCCGCTAAGGGCACGTACCTCAGTTGCAGTTTGTCCCCGGCCCTGGTTGGGGCATGCCGGTGGCAACCACTCAATGTGTCCCTTTCACGTCGATGTCTCTCTCTGCCATTCTATCTGAACAAAAAAAAGGAAAAATGTCCTCTGGTGAGGATTTGAAAAAAAAGAATTTCTTATCTAAACCACTGGGATCGGGGAAGGGAAATTTTGTTTTAAAGCTTGGCTAAATTGTTGTTGTTGTTATAGATATGATAGTCGTGCTATTAAGTTCTTTAAGTTGGGAGAGGGTATGAGGATGCATTGGGCAAACTTCTGAATGTCCACTCTGCAATCTGCTGGGTGCAAGGGGAAAATAGACAACGGTAAATTGATCTCATAAAGAAGTAGATAAAAGGACTTCAGAATATTTTAAAGTGTATCTTCTCTTTTCAAAGTTAACCTTTGACAACTTCACATTTGTATCATCAACATTTAAAACTCTCGTCTTATTTTTAGATAGATAAGAAAGCCATGTACAAAGCTGGAATGGTACAGAGAGTCCAAAATGAGGTGAAAATACATTGCCAATTGAAACATCCTTCTATCTTGGAGGTAAAATACAAATTTTATAAAAATCGCCAAGGATACGGAATTTTTGTATGTTATAATTTATTATGCTCTTTTATATTTCAGCTGTATAACTATTTTGAAGATAGCAATTATGTTTACCTAGTATTAGAAATGTGCCATAATGGAGAAATGAACAGGTATCTAAAGAACAGAAGGAAACCATTCTCAGAAAACGAAGGTGGGCTGCTGCTTCTTTCTTTCACTTTTTTTTTCTTTTGGTAGATACAAATTTTACTTTTTGTAGTTTTGAAGAATGTGCTGTTTTGTAATATTTAATAAAACTTTTTAATGCAAGCATTACAGAAGTAAAGTAAAAGGAGAAATTTATTATCTTTTTTCAAAACTACATTTTAAATTGGTAGCAATTTAGTATGTATTCTTACTTTTTTAAAAATACATTTTTATTGAATTTTTTAGACTGAGGAAGGGAGAGAGAGAAATATCAATGAGAGAGATCCACTGATTGGCTGCCTTCTGCACGCCCCCTACTGGGGATGGAGCCCACAACCCAGGCATGTGCCCTGACCTAGAATCAAACCGGGACCCCTCAGTCCATGGGACACTTCTCAGTCCACTGAGCCACACCAGCCAGGCTGTATCCTTACTATTGAAATGACTTATAATAGAAAAGAGAAAACATAAATAGGGAAAGTAGTATAATGAACCCCCATGAAGTTAAATCACTCAGCTTTCAAAACTGTCAACTCATGGTCAAATTGTTTCATTTGTATCCTTATTCCCCCAGTTTCCCAGAGTATTTTGAAGCAAATCATAGACTTTATAGATATTTTGACTCTTTATCTTTAAAAAATAAAGACTTAAAAAAAATAACCACAAATTTATTATCACACTTATTATATTTCTTACTATCAAATACATAAGTCAGTTTCAACTTCCCCAGTTTCATATAAATAACTTTTTACAGTTCAGTTCAGGCTCAGTTGTAAGGTCTATGCATCACCTCACAAAACTTTTTTCATGTTATCTTGCCTTGCTAACAGATTACAGGTAAGCTAAGGTGGTTGCTGATAGATTATTGTGTACATTCAAATCTATGTAAGCTGTTTAGAAAACAATTTGGTCTTATGTATTAGGAGTTATGGAAATGTTCATATCCTTTGACTTAAAATAAGGACATAATTCAAATTGTAAATAATTCCATACAAATATTAACAATGATTACTGTATTTTTTCTAATACTGTAAAATAAGGCCTCTTTAAATAAGACAAACCTGCAAAAGCAATAAAGGAAAAAATTGTTAATTTACTTAAAATTAAGACTGACAAAAGAGACAGCTAACAAATTTAAATGACGAAAATATCTGTAAACTATATGGCTGGCAAATTAATATTAAAAATATAAAGCCTGCCTAAAAAAAGATAATTGAATAGGAAAATGGACAGGGGATATAAGCAGACTGTTCACAGAAGAGAAAGTACAGATGGCCTATAAACATGAAAAAATGCTCAAACTCAATAGGAATCATAAGAATGCCAACTAAAATAAAAAGCACCATTTTTTTACTTACTGGCTTGAGACTGCCTGAGATTAACAGGGATGTGCATGAAAATACAGCCTTTTAGAATTTGGGAAGGTATTACAATATGAAGTTTTAATCCTTTAACCCAGTGATTTTATTTCTTGAATTTACCCTAGAAAAACATCCCATGATATGCACAAGAAAGCCCTGGCCAGTGTGGCTCAGTTGGCTGAGTATCATCCCATGCAACAAAGGGTCCCCAGTTTGATTCCCGTCAGGGCATGTACCCCAGTTGCTGCTCCATTCCCAGTGGAGCGTGTGCAAGAGGTAGTCGATCAGTGTTTCTCTCTCACATTGATGTTTCTCCTTTTCCTTCTTTCTGAAATCAACAAAAACTTTAAAAAAAAAAAATGCACAAGAAAACAAGTATATACAAGAATGTCTATTGGTCTATATTTTGTAATCTTGAAATACCAGAAATGACCCACATTTTCATCAATAGCAATTAAATAAAATGAAGATCTATGTGTATTGCCAGAAATATCTCCAAGAAACATTGTAAAGTGGAAGAGAAAGTAACAAAACTATATTTTTATACCATTTTTATATTTAAAAACCAGTTATAACACATTTTTGTAGGTTTAAAAATTTTTATAGATGTAAGCACACAAGAAAGAGTATAAAAAGATGTACAAACTGTTAATAGTGATTGTTTTTTGGGAGGGTTTGTTTGGGGGGACATCAGAAAAACTTTCACTTGCTTTTTAAAGAAAAAAATTAGAATGTATTTGTGAATTGTTGGTTCAGTTATAAATATTTTCTTTTAATTGCTAGAGAATTCTGGTTAACCTAGAGTTACTCTATTTACTGCCGTGTGCTAATAAAATTAAGCTTCCCTTAACTAAATATAGAAAACTCATCAGAAAGGACAGAGGTTAAATAAAAGGAGTGCTTAGTTGTCTTAAAGGGAATTAATGTATATCATGAAATTATCAGTGTTATTTGGGATGGTAAAACTAAGCTGCAGTGTCCTAATTTTAATACTCTGGCATGTGTACCTGGGTTGTTATGTATTCTAAATACTGTATGTTCCAGATTTTCTAAATCATAGATTTTATGTTTTGTATTCTAACAGCTCGACACTTTATGCACCAGATCATCACAGGAATGCTGTATCTCCATTCTCATGGTATATTACACCGGGACCTCACACTTTCTAACCTCTTACTTACGCGTAATATGAACATCAAGATTGCCGATTTTGGGCTGGCAACTCAATTGAAAATGCCACATGAAAAGCACTATACGTTATGTGGAACTCCTAATTACATTTCACCAGAAATTGCAACTCGAAGTGCACATGGACTTGAATCTGACATTTGGTCCTTGGGCTGTATGTTTTATACATTACTTATTGGGAGACCACCTTTTGATACTGACACAGTCAAGAACACATTAAATAAAGTAGTATTGGCAGATTATGAAATGCCAACTTTTTTGTCAAGAGAAGCCAAGGACCTTATTCACCAGTTACTTCGTAGAAATCCAGCAGATCGTTTAAGTCTATCTTCAGTATTAGACCATCCTTTTATGTCCCGAAATTCTTCAACGAAAAGTAAGGATTTAGGAACTGTAGAAGATTCAATTGATAGTGGACATGCCACAATTTCTACTGCAATGACGACTTCCTCCAGTACCAGTATAAGTGGTAGTTTATTTGACAAAAGAAGACTTTTGATTGGTCAGCCACTCCCAAATAAAATGACCATATTTCCAAAAAATAAAAATTCAAGTGATTTTTCTTCAGGAGAAGGAAGCACTTTTTATACTCATTGGGGAAATCAAGAACAAGAAACTGGTAATGGTGGAAGGGGAAGAGTAATCCATGATGCTGAAGAAAGGCCACGTTCTCGATACCTTCGTAGAGCCCATTCCTCTGATAGGTCTGGCACTTCTAATAGTCAATCCCAAGCAAACACGTGTACAATGGAACGATGTCACTCAGCAGAAATGCTTTCAAAATCCAAAAGATCAGGAGGAGATGAAAATGAAGAAAGATACTCACCCACAAACAGCAATGTCAATATTTTTCACTTCTTTAAAGAAAAGACTTCTAATAGTTCTGGATCTTTGGAAAGACCTGATAACAATCAATCAGTGTAAGAAAAACCCTATCAAAAGGACTTTACTTTTTTAGTAAACATTGTGTTAGTACAATAATGAAGCTGACTCTAACTAAGGGGGTTTACTTTTTTCTAACATTGTCAGACATTCCTGGGGCACTTCTTAACTATGATTTCTGTTTCTTTTTTTAAATATGTTTTTACTGATTTTTTAGAGAGAGAGAAATATCAGTTGGCTGCCTCCAGCATTCCCTTTAATGGGGATTGAGCCCACATCCCAGGCATGTGCCCCGGCCAGGAATCAAACCGGGACCTCTCAGTCCATGGGACGACGCTCAATCCAGTGAGCCACACCGGCTGGGCTGATTTCTATTTCTTATTAGGAAGAGAATCAGAATGATGATTTTGAATTGTGGTTAAGAATCTCTTTTAACGTGAGTGTATGTGATCATGAATGTGTTTGTAGAGTGTATTTAACACTTGGGAATTTTTTGTTTCTTTTCTTTTTTTTTTAAATGAAGCAATTCTCCAGTGCAAAGTTTCATATATTAAACGTGTTTGGTTTCTAAAGTACTCTAAATGGTAACTAGAAACACACACACATGTAAAGAAAGAGAGAAGCTGAACCTAAATGATGAGTAATTGTATTATTGACTGCTTCTCACATGAAGACTAGTTTTTTAGATACTATTGTTTCGTGTTTTTTTTTCCCCTGATCTTTGATTTTTATGCTTAAATTACAAGAGAGCAATAACCATATAGAAACATAGTTAGTGCCATGAGAATTTTGACATGGGAGTTTGGCTTTTTAGAAACAATTTAGTTATGCAAATACTGGTTTCTAAAATTTTCAGAAAGTCAAATAAGAGATCTCATTTTATTAAGTATCTTAAAAAGTTATTACTTGGTCATTTTGTATTAGTTTATGTGAATATTTTTTCTTTGTCTTTTTAGCTCCAATCATCTTTATCCAGGAAAAACTCCTTTTTCGTTTTCAGACCAGACATCTCAGCTTGAAATGGTACAACAATGGTTTGGAAATCTGCAAAAAATTGGTGAGTTTTTAATTGACTGTTTAATAAAAAATTAATCACGCGGACACTTAGCAAACATTTTACATTTCTATTTGGGTTTTCTTTAAAAATAATGCATTTTCAACAAACTGTTATAATAGTAATAATTATTAACTATGGATTTTGAGTATTTACTATGTCAGCCACTGTTCTTAGTGCTTTGCATATGTCATTAACTTTTCACAAAACACTTATAAAGACGTACTATTAGCCTTGTCTTAGGAAAGATGAGAAGACCAGGATTCCCACCCAAGTCTGGCTCAGAGACTTGATTCTAAACCCCTCTGTTCTTGCAGCCTCTCTGTAATTAGCACCTACTATCAGTGCCTATAAAATAATCAAGAGGGTTGATCTTACTATTTTGTTGTTGTTGTTAATCCTCTCCCAAGGACACCTTTGCATTGATTTTTAGATAGAGTGGAAGGGAGGGAGAACAAGAGAGAGAAACATTAATGTGAGACACATTGATTGGTTGCCTCCTGAATGACCCCAGCCAGGGCCAGAAATCAAACCTGCAAACCAGGTACATGCTATTGACCAGGAATCGAACCCTCAACCCTTTGGTCTGAAGGCCAACGCTCCAACTGCTGAGCCAAACTGGCCAGGGCAACCTTATTTTTAAGTAGAAGCTGATGTAGACATCATGGTGTACCAGTGGGACCTCACATACACTAAATTACACAGCTGCTAAAAACCTAAACGTTTTTAAACAGCTGTCATTTAAGTCATTATTTATATGCAGAGAGTCTAAAGTTAAACATTTCTTTTTAATGAACTTGACAGATTCACAGATGGTGGATTGGAAAACGATGATGCACATAAGAGAGAATAAAAAAGAAACATATGGAGAGGAGGGGATTGTTTTTTACCAAGTATTATATTACCTCACACAAAGAGTGCATTATATGGCTGTAATTTCAGCAGAGAGTTGTGTCACCTTAAGAGTCTGTGTTTTTCTTTTTAAATGTTATTTTCAAGAGCTGAAGAGAATAAACTTTTTCATGAGTACTTGCTGAAGATGATAATTCAAGTTTGTTTTTACACTATAAAAGTGCTGTGTACTTAATCTTGAAGTAAACCTTCTGTTGCAGTTGTAGAAACTTATTTGGTAACGTGGACATACCTGAGATGATGACTAGATTTATAATAATCCATTACTGCTGCTGCAATTTTAAAATACAGTATTTGATATAACAGATTTGTCATAATGGGAGTAGAGGAGAAAAATCACTGAAACATAATTTAAGGGAAAAATTGTGATACACATTTTTAGAGTTTAGCATTTGAAAAACTGTCTTCCTGAGTTTTATATCAGGGCTTTAAAAAATAACTTTCTCGCCCTGGCCAGTTTGGCTCAGCAGTTAGAGCGTCGGCCTGCGGTCTGGAGAGACCCAGGTTCGGTTCCCGTACCTCGGTTTCAGTTTGTCCCTGGCCCTGGTTGGGTCGTGTGGGTGGCAACCACTCGATGTGTCCCTTTCACATCGATGTTTCTCTCTCTCCCTCCTACTCCATATGAACAAAATATCGAAAAATGTCCTCGGGTGAGGATAAAAAATAATAATAATGTTCTCATGTGAATGTTAAAACCTAAAATATAAATGGGTAAAGTTCAATAAGAACCTTTCTTAAAATGTGGAGCCAATACATTTGTGACATTAAATATTAATAATATTAAAGCTATTTCATATCTTGTGTTTTTTTTGCTTTTAGTTGTGTGTTTTGTAAGTGAGGGTGGAATAGAGACCTTAGCTTAAAGAGAATAAATTTGCATATTATATAGAATGATTACTGGGAAATTCTTTTGTTTCTGTATTTGTTGCAGCATTGGCAATTGCTTATTTTAGATTTAAAAGGCGACTAGTTTTTACTTTGAAAAATTAATTTCATATTAATATCTTTTTTTCTTAGTGTTAAGAATACTAAAGGTATTTGTTTGTAATATGGCTTAAAATGTTCTTTAAAGTTGCTAGTTTATTATGTCATGTCTTAAACTGCTTATTTGTTAGAAAAATTATGAGCATTTTTGTTGCTTGATTTCTTTTGTTCCTCAAAAAAATCTATAAGTAGTATGAAATCATGTTGTGTAGGCTTGGCTTTTAATTACTGCATTCAGTTGCTTTATTCTGTGTATTTTATAGGTCATTTAAGAGAAACTACTGAGCACAATAGCCAAAACAGAGATTTCCAGGGCCGTCCAGATTTGCAGGACACCTCAAGAAATGCCTGGACTGACACAAGAGCCAAAAAGAGCTCTGATACTTCTGATAACGTGCATTCTGCAAAACAGCTGAATACCATGAAACATATGACTGCATTTCCTAATAAACCTGAGATAATTCCACAAGAATCTATTTTTGGCTTAGAACCTGTTTCTGAACAAAGCAAGACGAGGGGTATGGAGCCACCGTTGGGTTATCAGAAACGTACATTACGAAGCATTACATCTCCTTTGACAGCTTACAGGTTAAAACCAATCAGACAGAAAACCAAAAAAGCTGTGGTATGTCTTCTTTTTCAAAATTATTATGTGATATTTTCTTGGTAAATTGGTTTCTAGTATCAAATATAATGTTATTTTTAGTTCCCCACAATGTCTCTGCTTTTGGTAAGTGAACTATAAGCTCATTTAAAAGAAAAGGGGCTGGGTGTTTATGGAAAAATGGCTCTTATTTCCTAGTGGCTACTAAAAATGGTGAATTGATACTGATACGTTTTGAATTTTAAATTATTGATTTTGAAGAACATTTCAAATTAATACTGACTAGTTACTGTGTTAAATATTCACAATTTCAATCACTAAATATTTAATTATCTTTTGCTTTTATTTTTATTGTTTTTACATATAATCCAGATTCAAAAAGGTAAACTAGAAAGTATAACCTTTTTTTAACATCTGAAACTATTTAAAAGAAAAGGAGTATACCCAAAATTAAGTTTAGAGTTTTAAAAAGTTTGATTTAGGAATGGTGATTTTTATTTTTTAATTCCATCTTCATCCTGTTTTCCCATTCACCCAGTCTTGCCTTTGTTTGGCATACTATTGTCTTTACAACGTCCTTATTCTCCACCCTCCCTTCTGCTTGCTTTCTGATCACTGGTTATCATTTCACACTTCATTATACCTTCTTAGCTTCCTTATGTTTCCTAGTTGTGCTCAAGTACACTCCTGGTCCCGGCTGTTGCAGTGAAGCAACTCTTTTGATTTGTATTTCTGCTATGGTTAAGTACTTTTCAGTATCATAGATGTCAGAGCCGTTCTAGTAAACAAGAGCATTCTTACTGATTCCGGTTTGTTTTTAGGTGAGCATACTGGATTCAGAGGAGGTATGTGTGGAGCTTCTGAAGGAGCATTCATCTCAAGAATACGTGAAAGAAGTTCTTCATATATCTAGTGATGGAAATACGGTAAGGTGGATCTCCTTTATTATCTTGCAACTTTATCACTTAAGCATTTGGCTTTCTAATTCATTTTATAATTATATCTTTAAAAAACTTTTTAAATCATTTTTTCTGATAGTGATAGTTTCTTTGGAATCCAAAAATTGGAGTAGTATACTATATATATTTAAATAAATTAGTATGAATTTTAAAATAATTATAACTAGTAACAAAATCTCAAGTTTAGGCTTAAGGTTAAAAAGCAAAATAAACCTTTTAGAACATACTTAGCATTTTCAATAAAATAATATTTAATATTACATGTGAGCTCTTCATAATTTTAGTAGCAGAATATAGTGCTGTAACTTAATGGCATATAATTAGAATTTTTAAATTTTTTTGACAGATCACTATTTATTATCCAAATGACAGAAGAGGTTTTCCTCTTGCTGATAGACCGCCTTCGCCTACTGATAACATCAGTAGGTACAGCTTTGACAGTTTACCAGGTATGTAAAGTTATTAAGGAACAAATTTAGAGAATGGACTTATATATGTCTAAACTCTATACATGTGTATATGTGGTTAGCATAGGTTATAAATATCTAGTGAGGTTGGATGTACCTTACTCTTACAATGTTTATTCCTGTTCTGTTATAATGGTAAAAAGTAACTCTGGAATATTTGTGTTGAATCGTGTTAAAGTTACAACATGAAGTATCTAGTTTTTGGCTTTTGAAATCATGACTATGCTACATAAATGATCATTTATAACTGTGGTTTAGCAAATTTGACTCTCAGTTCAGCTCCTAGACATTATGGATTGGGGAATTAAGTACTGAATAGTAAGACTTCACTGAAGTGACAATTAGAAACAAGAAAACCTATATAACTTAACTCTATTTGAAATCAAACAGGTAGATAAGACCTGAATACTGTAAATGACCATAGTTAAATACTATAAATCACCATAGTTACAGGAAACTTTACTTGTATAAGGTAGGGCCATAAAACTATGCTTTTCTAACATAAAAAGAGCTGTGTTTCTTTTTCTGAAAGGCGTTTGGTTCTGATATCTCAGGTGGAAGTCTTTTCATTTTACTTATAAAACTTTCCTGGAATTATTAAAATTATTTTTTAAGTAATCATAACACCATTCATCAGATTTTGCTATACATTTCTTGCAAATGTTATACTATCTTTCATTTTTCTTGAAATAATAGACTTTATGTCTCTAAAGTATTTTTATTTTGGTTCTGGGATTACTAACCTATCAACTTGAATTTTTGAGCCAGAGTAGAAATAAATAATTTTTTTTTTCCCTCACGCTAGGACACTTTTTTTGCATTTATCTTGAGATAGAGCGGGAGGAAGAGAGAGAGAGAGAGAGACATCGACGTGAGAGAGACACATTGACCGGCTGCCACCCACACAACCCCAACCGGGGCCAGGGACAAGCTGCAACCAAGGCTCATGCCCTCAGTGGGAACCGAACCCGGGTCTCTCTGTTGCGCGAGCCGACACTCTAACCACTGAGCAAAACTGGCCAGGGCTAACAACACTCTAACCACTGAGCAAAACTGGCCAGGGCTAAATTTTTGTGTAATTTATGTCAACTCAACATTATTCTTTTGTAATAGGCCATTTTTTTTCTTTTCCTCCCTAGAAAAGTACTGGCGAAAATATCAGTATGCTTCCAGATTTGTACAGCTTGTAAGATCTAAATCTCCCAAAATCACTTATTTTACAAAATATGCTAAATGTGTCTTGATGGAGAATTCCCCTGGTGCTGATTTTGAGGTTTGGTTTTATGATGGTAAGTACCACTTTAAAATGGTACTTTTTCCCTTTAGTTTGTAATTTAATAGTTGTGTTTTTTAATGAAACAGCAAGTTTTTCTATATATATATATATATATATATATATTGAGGTGAGAAATTCAAATGGACACACACAAAATTATTAGAATTATAAGTGTATAAAAGGATAGGACTGAATCAGAGAATCTTATTTTCTAAATCTGTTCTATAAATATGATTTACTGTTTAATCTGTAAAAAGCTTCCTACTTTAAGGGACACTGAGCACAAACACCATACATGTATAATTATAGCTGTCCTTCAGTTGTTATTTTTATATGAGAGGTGATTTTTTAAAAAATTTTAAGTGTTTTATTTATTTATTTATTTATTTATTTTAAATCCTCACCCGAGGATATTTTTCCATATTTTGTTCAGATAGAGTAGGAGGGAGAGCGAGAAAGAGGGGGAGAGAGAGAGAGAGAGAGAGAGAGAGGCATCGCCATGAAAGAGATACATCGAGTGGTTGCTACCCGCATGACCCAACCAGGGCCGGGGACAAACTGTGACCGAGGTACATGCACTTAGTGGGAACCAAACCCGGGTCTCTCTGGACCACACGCCGACGCTCTAACCGCTGAGCCAAACCGGCCAGGGCAGATTATAAGTGTTTTAGACTTAAGCCAGATACATGCAGAAAAGAAAAATGGATGACCTATATTTACTGAATACCTTGAGAGCTTCATTTTATTTATGGTCAGTAAGTGAATGTAAAAGATACTGTGATCTAGAAGCTATTATGTACTGGTATAATAATGGATATAAATCTAGATATTTAAAGAAATGATTTAAAAATAGTTTCTTATTTTTTAAGGAGCAAAGATACACATAACAGAAGCTTTAATTCATGTGATTGAAAAGACTGGGATATCTTACACCTTAAAAGGTGAAAGTGAAGTTAATAGCTTGAAAGAGGAAATAAAAATGTATCTGGACCATGCTAATGAGGTATGTACTCCTTATGGTTTTCGTGCCGATGATGGATGACAAACGCCAGCTCCCGTGATGACGGAAGCTCTCTTCCTTTGAAATAGGGCCGTCGGACTTGCTTAGCGCTGGAATCCGTGATTTCGGAAGAGGAAAAGACAAATGGAAGCGCTCCCCTTTTCCCAATAATCATAGGAAGGTAAATGTTTAAAAACTGTAAAAATATGGCTAAAATGTATAGGAAATGTTTTTAAAAACAGGTGTTTACATTATAAACATTCTTTGCCTTTCTGTAAGTTGTAAGCTTTAAGGAAACCTGCTTAGATATTTCTTTCTCCTTCAGAAAACCTAGTAGCACTAGCTCGCCTCAGGCCCTGTCCGCGCCGCCTGCCATGGATCTGAACTGCCGGATGAGGAGACTGTGCGTCAGCAGCGCGGCTGCTCCGGGTCAGGCCCCAGCGCCTAGCCCTCCTGTAAGCACACGTGTCACTCCTGTACCCAGACCCTTCGGCGACTGCCTGATGCCCTTGGTGTACAGTGAAAACTCCTTATGATCACCTCCCTACTTCTGAAGCCTCACACTGAGCTGCTTTACCCCGCACTGGATGTGCCTGAACCTCAGAAGCCTTCCTTTACTTCTTGGAACAAGTCAGATTCTCAGGGCCTTTTCACATGCTGTTCCCGTGCCCAGAAGCTGTTCCCCGACCCCTCAGTGGCTCATGCTTATCCTTCTGGTGTCAGTTTAAATGTTGCCTCAAAACAAGCCTAAGCTGGCCTCTCTGTGAAAAAGCTAAATAGATTAAATTAGATTTTTGTTTCATTTTTACTTGTAAAGTTCCATTAACTACCTTTATATCCAATGATAGGCTCGTGGTTAAATAAACTTATTATATTTTTACTCAGTGAACTACAATGCCAGTGAAGACTATACAGCAATGTAGTATAAAAAGCAGCAATGAAGGAATAAGGGTGTGTGTGTATACATGTGTGTACTCACACACATACATACTTGCCATAATTGCAGCTGTGAAAAATTATACCTTGGGAAAAAAGGAAAAGATATCTATCAAAATGAAAACAGCAATTGTGTGATATATTTTTTTTTTTCTATTCTGTATTTTTTTAATTTCCATCATGTGGTCATGCTTTAACTATTAAATTTTGTTTTTTAGAAAACTTACTTTAAGCTAATAAAAAAACAATCGTTTTCTACTTTTGCTGAACTTGGCTTATAAAAATGCGAAGGCATAATATCTGTCTTTTACTTTTGTAGATGGTTACAAATGAAGGACTTGACCGTACTGCTGCAGCTTCTGGAACAAACATCCCTTCTAATAGTCTAAAAGATTGTCTTCCTAAGTCAGCACAACTTCTGAAATCTGTTTTTGTGAAAAACGTTGGTTGGGCTACACAGGTGAGAAGTTTTAGGAAGTGAATTTTCTCAGATTGTTTTGTTTCCACAGTAATTAGACAATTACCCCAAAATAGAAATTATTTTAAAGATTTCTCTTTGCAAGAAAGTTTTTACACCTTTTATGCAGTGGTTGTATCATTAAAAAGTTAAACATTTTTAAAATTTGTATACAGTTGGAAAACTCTATATATTGTTGATAAGAAATTGCCTGCCAGGGCCTGGGTGGCCTGTTTTTGCCCTTGTTTTTTAAAGCGCGGGTCATGATATTATGGCTAGTTAGGAGTTTAGAATGATGTCCATTAGAAGCCTTGTAACCTATATTACTACAGTAACTTTTATTTGGCCAAAAAGGATTTTTGCATTTGAAAGTTAAATCCACATTGAGTTTCAAGCTTTTGTTATAGAATTTTATATAGGTGTGAAAGGATGTGTGTATTATCTGGAAGCCTGGAGACTTGAACGTAGCACACACAGGTTTTACTTACCAATGAAATAAAATACAGCCTAGGCCTTTATGGGGGTAGGAAATAAAGGGAAGGGGACCCAGCATTTGTTGAGCACCTGCATTATAGTACCATGTTTTTCACATTTATTGTCTTGTTATTTCTCCAAGTGAAACCTAACGATGTTTTCTCCTTAAGTATGGCTCATATGGTTGATTGACTTGCAGTGTCCTACTTAGTTGGCAGAGTCTGGATTTAAACCCAGGTCTCTGATCCCAGAGTCCATGTCATCCTCTCTGTACTCTGGAGTGGCACATCATAAATAGTAGTGATTAAAGGAATAGGTTTCAAATTTAAGATATGAGGTTCTCGTGCAGAAGAGAGATTTTTGTGGCCTAAGGACAAAGAATAGAGGGAAATTCTCATTTTAAAAGTGTTGCTTTTGTGCCCTGGCCGGTTTGGGTCAGCGGTTAGAGTGTCGGCCTGCGGTCCGGAGAGACCCGGGTTCGGTTCCCGCTAAGGGCATGTACCTCGGTTGCAGTTTGTCCCCGGCCCTGGTCAGTCGTGCGGGTGGCAGCCATTCGATGTGTCCCTTCCACATCGATGTTTCTCTCTCTCTCTCTCTCTTCCTCTCTCTCCCTCCCACTCTATCTGTACCAAAATATGGAAAAATGTCCTCGGGTGAGGATAAAAAAAAAAAAGTGTTGCTTTTGTTATTTTTCTGTATCAATTCTTGTTTAGAAATACTATTTTTAAAAATTCTGTTGGAAAACAACAATGAAAAACTACTCCAGCCCTGGCCGGTTTGGTTCAGTGGTTAGAGCGTCGACCTGCGGTCCAGAGAGACCCGGGTTCGGTTTCCGCTAAGGGCACGTAAGGAAAAAAAAACTACTCCAATGTCCTAATGGAAACAAATGGGAAACAAGATTCACTTGGAATAAATTTTTTTTTTTTTTTTTTTTATCCTCACCCTCCGATATTTTTCCATTTTTTGTTCAGGTAGAGTGGGAGGGAGAGAGAGGAAGAGAGAGAGAGAGAGAGAGAGAAACATTGACGTGAAGGGACACATCGAGTGGCTGCCACCCGCACGACCAACCAGGGCCGGGGACAAACTGCAACTGAGGTACGTACCCTTAGCGGAAACCGAACCCGGGTCTCTCTGTACCGCAGGCCGACGCTCCAACCGCTGAGCCAAACCGGCCAGGGCTGAAATAATTTTAATATACGAATACCCTAACTATTAAAGGAATAGTCTGAGTAAGACATGCATTTTCTCAGTGCTACTATTATCACAGCTACTGAAAGGGTTGTTGTTGTTTTTTTAACTATGTGTAAAACCTGTTAAACATGAGGCCCTCTATAGTAATTTCTGACACTTCTATTTTTCTAGTTAACTAGTGGAGCTGTGTGGGTTCAGTTTAATGACGGGTCCCAGCTGGTGGTGCAGGCAGGTGTGTCTTCCGTCAGTTACACATCACCAGGTGGTCAGACGACTAGGTGAGTTCTGAAACACTGGTTGAGAGTCATTCCTTTGCTATAAGTTTTCCCTATACAGTGAAATAAGTTATGTAGTAAAGTTACTATTTTCATTTTGGCAATGTTTATGTTATTTAAACTGTTAATTATTCTTAGGAGTTCATATAGCCTTTTTAATGCATGTTTTAGAATTAACGACATGAATGCAGGACTGCAAGTGGCTAGGTTCCTTGTAGCCTTATTCCACAGCCTAACTAGGTTGGCTTTTTTCAGGAATAACAGACCTCTACTCTGGCTGGCATGGTTCAGTGGTTAGAGCATTGGCCTGTCCACCGAAGGTCTCAGGTTCTATTCCTGGTTAAGGGCATGTACCTGGTTTGCAGGTTCTATTCCCAACCCTGTTTGGGGCGAGCTGAGAGAGGCAACCAATCAATGTGTCTCTTTCACATTGATGTTTCTCTCTCTCTATCGCCCCTCCCGCCTCCCTTCCACTCTCTCTTTTTCTGAAAATCAAGGGAAAAAGCATTCTTGGGTGAGGATTAAAAAAAAACAAAGAAATAATAAACTTCTAAGTTCAAAATAATACACCTAAACAATTTATGTCAAAAAACATAGAAGCTAGAAATCTTTTTTAAAGAGAGATTTTTTTTATCTTAAATGGAAGGCTGTATCCTCTTATCTAATGTAAAGTAATTAATGTTTGAAGCACAGTTTTGAATATATATATTCATTCTGTATGAAATGTGTCAGGAACCATGCAAAAAAGCAGGGATCTGCCAGTGGCAAGAGTAAGCAGTAGTTTGGCTTCCACAACACAAATCATAACTAACTAAAAAGAGGTAGGGTTGGTTAGTGATGATGCCAGTGCCCACATGGTACTCTATGAGAAGTGATTATTGTAAAGGAATTACTAGAGGCAAATATAATTTGTGGATATCCACCAATTGCTTTTTTTGTTAAATGTGTACATATGCAGTGCCATTATTTAAAGAACTACTCATGAAGTTAGATGCTTTGTTAAATAAACTCTTTGAAATGCTCCAGAAAGTGGAAGGCTACAGATATAAAATGGGTAGAACCGATGTTCAGATGATAAAAGTTCAGATTTACTTGATATAGTCATTTGGAAAGTGTTAACATTTATATAGAAATGTATTCATACATGTTTAGCTTAGTGTTTTCCTTAGATTAGGACCTACAATTTAATGAGGAATCCAGATCTTCAGGTTACTTTAGAAATTATAAAGCCAGTTTAAGTTATTAGATCTAATTTTATTTCTATTATTTAAATACATTAAGAGATCGGTCTGTTTTGAAAGGAAACAAATTGGGTATGCTTAACTTGATTTAGGCGTCTACTCTAGTAAATATTTTGTGTAATTTTTCTGAGATGCCTCTGCCATTGAAAAATTACTGAAAAATATAATGTGCCTTTTGGTACTTTCACACGAACTAAGTAATTAAGTAATGTTTTTATCTTTTTTCTTTTGCTTCACTTAGATATGGAGAAAATGAAAAATTACCAGAATACATCAAACAGAAATTACAGTGTCTTTCTTCCATCCTTCTGATGTTTTCTAATCCAACTTCTGGTTTTCTGTGATTAAAGTTCCTTTTAGATATATGTTTAATAAATAATGTTTTTGTTGGCTTTCAAAGAAAGTGACTTTTTCTTATTTAAATAACTTCTTCAGAAAGCCTTTTTATAGAAGAGAATTTTAATCTATACCATAGTGGGTATATTCTAATGAGAGAACAAAACAGAGTGAAACTTAAATCACGTATAGAATGTAGTGGTCATAGATTAAAATAGGACATCTAACTTTGCTCTTAAAATTATATACCCCCAAACTTTCTGTGTTCCTATATTTGTATTGAACAGTCTTTTTAAAGCAAAAATATAAATGGTGTGTGTGTGGTATATTTGTGCTTTTGTTGTTTTCCCTACTTCTCGGGCTGGTTGAATCATGGACCAAACATGGAGGAGTTTTTTAATAATTGAACGTGTAAATAATATGTATTTATGTTATAAGAAACATGTAAAAATGTATATTTGTTTTATATTTATTTTTGTAGCACTGGTTTCTGATGAAGCATTTAAACCGATGCATTTTATATTAAAAAAATAAATAAATACAGTGATAAGTGGCTTTATCTTTTGACTTATTTAATTAAATACTTATTAAAATAAGTTACTAGTAAACTTGTATTTAGTTTTGGTGCCTGTTTGTTTAGGAGGAGCCAATTAAAAATTAATTTTGCAAATGGTAAATACATTGTTTCTCTACCCTTACCTGAAAGTATGTATATATTTTAATGATAAACATTTTAACACTGAAAAAGCCAATACAGTTAATTAACATGATGAAAAGGAATACTTGATAGTATGACAGTCATTCCTAATGAAATACTCAAAGTAAAATGGGAATAGAATGTAATTACCTAAATATGATATAGATTGTTTAACCTAATGTTTCCTGCTGATTTTTATAATGAAAGAAATATTGGAACCAATTCCATTAAGTAGACATGAATACCCAATCTCACAATTATTCAACGTTGTTTTGGAGGTTTTTGCTTAAGGCAATGAGGAAAAAACAATTTACAACATAAACTGCAAAGTTAGTATTAATAAGAAAAGACAAACAACCCAATAGAAAACTGTACAAAAGATATGAACAGATGATTCATAAAGGAAACCCATATAGTGGTGATTCCAAAGGCTATATGCTCAACCACCTGTACAGTTAGAGAAATGCAAAATTAGTTCCTTTTATCAGAGATTGGTAAAAAATAGTAACAGAGCAAGGCATTCTTGGGTATTGATTAGAGTAAATGATAATCTAATAGAAATCTGGCAGTGTCAGAATTAACACATTTTAATACATTGGTATTCCAACTGTGGGGAAGAAAATTATGTAAGTCTATCTCTTAGGGGAAAAAATACCGGAAATAAGAGTTTCTCTTTCGAAATGGAAATTATCAAAAGAATTCCTAGCTAAATGTCGAAGGCTAAAAAAAATATTTTGCTTTGACAAAATTTAAGTTTTTTTTATAATCTCAATAACTTAATGTGTCTTTATGTTTCAGGTATTTCTCTTACACGTAACATATAGTTGAATTTTGTTTTTTAATCCAATCTAATAACCTCTAGTTTGTTTGCCTTTATTGTCATTTCTGATTTATTTCACTGTTTGTCATTACAATTCTATTACATTGATGTCGACCAATTTATTTTGTGCTTTGTTCCTCATTTTTCTTTTTTCCTTTCCTGCCTTCTTTCAGGTTGAGTTTCCTTTAATCCCTTTGATTCTCTCTACAGAATATTTTCATCAGAACGGTATGGTAGTTTATCAATATGCAGTGTTTACAAGAGTATGACTAAGTCTTCACCACTGAATACTTCTGTGTACTCAATGCTGCATCCGACCAGGAGGCACAGAGCTTACCCCCTTGTGATGTGGAGGATGCTCAGAAGGTTCAAATGTTGTCAGTCTCATCCACCCTTTAGAAAGTTCCTCATTAATTTTTCACCTATAAGTTGTAGCATTCATTCCTTGATTGTTGCCCAAATCTGTTATTTCACTAGCGGTTGCTAAATGGGGATTTGTCTAATTCTCTTACTCCATTTGTATTAGCTTGGATTATTCCGCAGACTAGAACTTTCCCTCAGCAATATTTCACTACCTGCTGAAGTGCAGGTACAGGAAAGGCAGTGTTGAGTCTTTATTTTCTAGTTTTCAGAATAAAGAACTAAAGCCCTAGCAACCTCCAAAGGTGACCAGTGAGTTTATTTTTAGTATCATTATGAACTCAGATTTTCACATTTGATGTTTAAATAAATAGCAGATATTATTTTCAGAGCTTTAACTGCCCTGTTTTTGGCTGGAGGAGTCCCTCCGTTTGCCGGTCCTTTGGCGAGCCTCCAGGCTTGGCTAGCTCCTGCCTGCTGGCACGTGCCGCCTCAGGCTCATCTTGCCTCACACCTGGCATCAGCCATTTCTACAAGGAGCCCAGGTTTCTTAGAGACCTTGTTGCCTTAAATGGCTTCCCATTTCTCTTCAAGTCCAGAGTACCTAAACATGTTTCCTAATACTGACATATCACGAATGGATTATCGTTCCAAGTAGAAGACGGACCCTTTGAGTGCTCAGTTGTTAGTGGGGCCTGTGTTGGCTGAAGAATGGTACCAGCAGCCTCGTCTGCTTTCCTCGCTGGCGCATGTACTTTCTAGGGCTGCATATGAGAACGGGTGAGCGGTGCGGTGAGTGCACAGGGATGTGTATTTGTCAGCTCAGTAAACCTTTCTTTTGGGGAACCTCTCCTTCAGTTATAAATGTTTGGTCCATGTAATTGAGATGGGCCTCTCAGAGTTCCTCCCTTCTCTCCCCCCCAGAAAACTGCAGCGCTGGGTCCGAGGGTTTCTTCTACCACCTGCCATCTGGTCAGTTCAGGGCCTGTAAGCTAACCTTGGCTACTTGGAGCCTTTTCTGACCCTTCTTCCCGAGCCATTTTCTTCTGAAATTGTGAGCTACAGAGTCACATGCCCTGACTTTCCTGTTAGGTCAGGTACCCCGTTACCCACCCTTACAGCTCCCTGCACTTCTCCTTCACCGTCCTTCCTCAAGCATAATCCTCTGTGCGTCACCTGAATAACATCTGACTTTCCCTACTAGGGGCCTGTTCTTCGCTCACTGCTCTCTTCTCCACAGTGCCACGGTGCTTAAATACGTATTCAAAGTATAAATAAGTAATGTTTTAAGGCTTAAGGTACATGTATAATCTTTTATTAGGAAATGTAAATTAACATCATAAAATACATTAAATTACGAATACAGTCAAACCTTGGTTCTCCAACATCTCCCATCTCAAACTACTCAACCCGACAGCCCTTCCATGCTGACACCGTGTACGATGTCAGGCATCTCTCGGGCGACAAGGGGAGAATGCGAGCGTGTGAGTCAGTTCCCTGTCAGCTTCGCAGGAAATTGTGCTGTGAATATTTTCCATGTTTTTGTGCTTTTGTTGCTGCTGCTTATTATTAAATTTTCACCTTTTTACTGTATATTTCATTTCCTTTTGGTTAAATTTTCATTTACATTTCATGTCCTTTTTGTTTTCAGAGTGTTATAGATTAAACAGTACATTAGACATGTAGTATATGAAAGGTTAAAATGGAATCATTTGGGGGTCTGGAACATTCATTCAATTTGCATACATTGTTTCTAATGGGAGAAAATGCTTCCGTTTTCAAACAGCCTCTGAAACGAATTTTAAGTTCAAAAACTGAGGTAAGTCTGCTATAGTCCAAAATGGTACCCCAAAATATCCTCTCAAAATAACTTAATCTAGTCTTGAACAGATGCAGCTAAGTAGTCTGTCCTCTTCAAAACAAATTACATACAGACTTGTTTTACTTAAGCAAGAGAGATCTGTTTTACTTATGAACTGGAGTTTGTTTTCAATGTAGCCAAGCTTAGGAAGGTAGCATGAAGTTTTGTGAAGCTATAAATCCCTACAAAACAGGACTCTCACTCTTAACAAGTTTAGGTTTTCAAAACATCTCTTAAATATATACTACTTTTAGTAGTTTTTCATCCCTTACCATCTCCTGCCATCCTTTTCAATTAATACTCAGCTTGTTCCACTCAAAACCTCAATTAGGTGATTTCTTTCTTCAAACTTTACCTCCCTGCTCTCTCCTCAACCCCATGTCACCTCCTCATCCTTGTGCCAAGGTGTCACTGGTATAATACTCCAGAGAAGAAAGTGCTCTCAATAAAAATGTGGCAGTCATTTTTGCAAGGTTATAGTTTATCAATTTTATTCAATGTTATAAATCTTTAGGAGTTGGAAAATTTGTCTATGTCAATATTCTGGCATGGAAACAGGCTAACCATTAAGGTAAAAGCCTATCAATGGGTGTCAAGTTATATTTATCAAATATTTCTGCTAATAGGAGTCACTGATATAGGTAGCAATTTATTATACAATTAGCAATTAATCACCTGCTACTGCAACCTGGGCTATATACTATGAAAAATATAGTGGTTAAGAGTGTAGACTCTGATGTCAGACTGCTACTTAGAAAAAGTACCTACACTTCTTGGTGCCTCTCATTCACCTGTAAAACGGGAATCATAATAGTAACTTCACTCTGTCAACTAAGATTAAACTGAACATCACACAGCACCTGGATGTGAATTTGATAAATGTTCACTGTTATCATGCTCATGATTACCACTACTGTTGTTAGTTCTATCATTCACAGTCCCTAAACCAAGGGTGACGTTTACTCTTCGGGATTAGAGTGCCCCCCCCAATGTAAGACAGAAGGGGGAGCTGTGGAACATCAGGGAAGGGTTCCGGGATGTGGCAAACAGCCAGAAAATTCGCTGTGGTTCTGATAAATCTAACTGAAGCAGTCTTGCTACGGGAGGTGGAGAGGACTGAAAACAAATAGACGTAAGCACAGGATTACTTTTGTCAGATTAAGCTTTCTATTACAGCTGAAGAAACTGGATATAAGTACAGCAAACCTCAAGTCACAACCCAAAACAATCCGATTAAAAAATGGGTAGAGGACCTGAATAGACATTGGTCCAAAGAAGACATACAAATACCAACGAGTATGTTAAAAGGTGCTCCACATCAATAATCCTCATGGACTTGCAAACCGAAAGCAGTGAAATACCACCTCACACCTGTTTCTGTGTGTGTGTGTGTGTGTGTGTGTGTGTACATACATACGTAATGGAATATTATTCAGCCACAAGAAAGGAGATCCTGCCATTTGTGCTGACAGGGATGGACCCCAAGGGCACTGCTAGGTATATCACTGATGAGGAATCTAAAAGAGGTGAACTACTGGAAGCAGAGAGTGTTATGACAGTTGCCAGAGTCTGGGGGATGGAGGAAATGTGGAGATGTTGGTCAGAGTACCAATTTGCTGTTACAAAATTAATCATTTCTGGGGATCTAAGGTTCAGCATGGTGATTAAAGCTAATAATACTGTATAATATACTTAAAAGTTGCTGAGAGAGTCAATCTTAAATGCTTTCAGCACAAAAAGGAAATGATAATTATGTGATGGTATTAGTTAATGCTATGGTGGCAATCATTTTACAATATATAAGTGTATAAAATCGACATGTGCACCGTCAGCTTACACAGTGCTCTCTGTTATTGTATCTCAATAACGCTGGAAACGAAAGACGGAGAATACATCCACCTGCAAGCCCGTCAGGAGAACCAGCCCTGCCAACACCCGAATCTTGGACATCGACCCTCCAGAATTGTGAGAGATAAATTTCTATTGTTCAAGCAAAAAAAACAAACAAAAAACACAAACTTAGTATAAAGTGCAGTTTATAGTCTCTACTCTCTCAGTTTTGAAAATATTTATAATTTAGAGGAGAAAACATTTGGAAAGTATTTCAAAATATCTTTACTTTTTTTGGTAATATTGATTATCTATATACATATTTTTGTACTAGTTCCTTTTATCAACATTCAACTTAGACAGAGGTAGAAATGTACACATAGAAACCATATTCTCACGTAGACTTAATAAACTTAGATTAACGCCATCTGCCTCAAATGTTAGCCTGATTAGCCTGGGGCTGTCGTGGCCCGTCCGAATGTAACATTGTGCGGATCCGAATAGCTCTGCAGACGAGACTGGAAACAGTTGTGTCTACCCTGCCACCACCGAGTGCTGGGAAATAAAGTGGTCGTTTTCCTCCAGAATTTAAGGGAGTTGAAAATGCCAATAATTATAATAAACAATCCGCTTCAGTATATGTATACAATAACACATACTTGGCTTATGTTTCTAAAGTGAATTACTTATTAGCACTTGAAAGAAAAAAGTAGTTACCCCTACTTCAAGTAGTGAAATCCATCTTGATCTCTTAATCCTCTTTATTGCTTAAATATTAGCATTATTCATACTTATCTATTAATTTAGGGTTACTCAGTGAGATTAGACAGAATGCGTATTAAAAATAACTTAAAGAAGGTAAGGTAGGCTCTGGCCGGTTTGGCTCCGAGGTTATTAGAGCGTAGGCCGGCGGATCAATGAGTCGCGGTTTCAGTTCCGGTCAAGGGCACATACCTCGGTTGCAGTTTGTCCCCAGCACTGGTCAGGTTGTGCGGGAGGCAGCCAGTCAGTGTCTCTCTCTCACATGAATGTTTCTCTCTTCCTCTCCCTCCCTCCCACTCTATCTGATGATAAATAGAAAAATATCCTCTGGTAAGGTAAAAAAAGGTAAGGTAGGATGGCAGGTGTGGTAAATGGAAAAATTAAGAGTCAATATTTATTTCATAATGAAACTTGATAATAATAGAAAATGTATTTTTAAATAAATAAAAAGTAGGTATCTTTGATTAGGTAAAGATACCTACTACTTTGGTGAACTATTTCTTTTTTTTTCTTTCTTCAGTGTTTATTTTTTTATTAATTTATTTTTGTTGCAGATATTTCTCCTTTATCCCCCAGTAAACTATTTATATCGTTTCATTCTGTTATAGGTAATTCTTACAAAACTCTACTATGGTTTCACTGCATAAATATTCTCTGCAGTTTAAATAAAAATACAATTTCACATTTATAGACCATTGTTCATTCACTCGTGAATTTATCAATCCAAAAAAGGTGTTGCATGAAGAATATTTCTCTTTTCAGCCCTGGCCGGTTTGGCTCAGCAGTTAGCGTGTCGGCCTGCGGACCAGAGTCCTGGGTTCGGTTCCCGCACCAAAAAAAAAAAAAGGAATATTTCTCTTTTCAGATAAAGAAATTATGATCCAGAATGATTTTTTGTATTTTCTTACTATTCAGTTACAGAATTCCCTGTGTTAACTCAATCTATGTTCTTGCTATTCAAAATACACAACACCCAAAGCCTGGCTTTTGGAAACGGACTCACAGCAATCGCCTGGCAGAGCATTAGTAAAGAAGTCCCACACGGCAGGTCCTCTGCACCCCAGAGGCAGCTAGCCAGGTGACTCCTGAATCCCTCCATGCCTCACAGAGAAAGCAACCAGTCTTCTGTAAGTCACTCCCAGGAGTGTGACGGTGAGCACCACTGTTCCACACACAAGGCTGAATGCCCATCGTGGGCCCCAGGAAGTATACACCTGGCTGATGAACACGGGTCCAAGAATCCGCGCTGCACTTCCAGAAGCTGTTAACCAGCCCATGTACACGCCCTGTGAGGTGGGGAGGGGGAGAAGCAGATTGATATCAGGTTTAGTTATTTTAAAAACAAGAGTGCTACCCAGCTGGTTGAGTTTCATCCCCTGCACCAAGAGGTTGCACGTTCTATTCCTGGTCGGGGCACATGCCCAGGTTACAGGCTTGATGCCCAGTGTGGGCGTGCAGGAGACAGCCAATCGATGTTTCTGTCGCTCCCTCTCCCTCTAAAAATCAGTTAAAAAAAAAAAATGAGTGATGCTACTAACCAAACTGTGCGAAACTCACAGGGCTCACTTCCCCATCTTTGATGTGTAAATAAAATATAAAATGCCTCTCTATAAATAAAGCAAATAATGAACAATAGAATTATTTGAGTCAGGTTAGGAAAAGTAAAAGCAGTAGAAAGGAACAAATTTGATATCTGGTGAAGCCCTAGAACAGTAGAAAGTATTAACTACCTTTTAAGGCTAACGTATTTTTTACTTGCTATCTTCCACACACTTGTTGGGCTCTTTACAGATGTTTCCAATGTTCACACAGGCCCAGGACTGGAATTGTCTCCATTTAACAAATGTGGAAGCTGAAGCTCAGAAAATTCAAGTCACTCTAAGGAGAGTCTGAGGCCAGGTCTGCGGGAATCGCTGTGCCACTAACCACCGCACCGCATCGCCCTGCAGCTACTGTGTGTGGTCCAGGCAGTCCGCCCTGGGAGGCGGGGCAGCGCCGCGCGCACAGCCCCGCCCTGGGAACTCCCAGCTGTCAGTCAGTGGTGGGGTAAGTGAATTCACTACGGGATATTTACCTAATGAAATGGTAAGCAGCTGCTAAAAAAAAAAAAAAAAATGTAATTATCCCTGATATTTTTCTCCATTTTGCTTCTATATTTTTTAAATTTTTATATAATGAAGATGGAAATTCTTATATAAAAACTAATTTTAAAATGTACATAGCTGCTGCACACTTTTAGGACTATGGTGTTTTCATCCTTTAGTAGCTGTCCGTAGGGCCAAATGAAATGAAGCCTAGATTGACATCTGCCTATCAATTTTGGTTTCCCAACTGCTGCCTAGTTTAAGAATGAGTTTCAGAACTTTATGCTTCAGATATTTTTTCTATGAAAATAATTTTGAGCTCATAATCGCTGAATTCAAGAGATATTTGAGTTTTTAGAGTGCTTTTTGTTCAGTTTCAACATACAAGTCTAATAAGTACTTTTAAAAAGTTGTGGGATTTTTTTTTTATTCAAAATGCTGAATATGATAAAATCTCCCCCATCGGCTTACGTGAAAACTGAGAACGGTAGCACAGAGCGTCAGTGCTGACAAGCACACCACACAGCTGCAGTGCCGGGGTGACTGACTCACCTGGGGTTTCGGTCCCAGAATTTTTGAATATATTGTATAGGACATAACATTGCAGGATGGGTAGCCGATTCCAATGAGCACAGCTGACGTGAGGAACTGGGCCAGGTGGACCACAGGGGTGTAGAGGCACCAGGCTTGTCCAACTGGGCAGCCAGTTGGTTCTTCGCTGTGATTTTCTCTTGGAGACCTCCAAAGAGTAGTAATAATTTCCCCAAATGTGGTATTAGGGATTGAATTGTTATGTAAATCTGTAAAAACAAAATGACTACAGTGCATTACTTATTAATATTAGATGAATAACAGACTATCACTATAGAATTATGTGTGGCTATACCTTCCCACTGTATCTTGGGATATTGATTTCCCCAAGGTAACAAGATAAAGAAGCCAGCCCATACAATGACGAGTCCTCCCAGCAGAATAGCACGCTCGCCAATCCTGTTAGGGAACAGAAACATGGTATTGTAACATAATTTCACTGCTTTTATAATTTCAAAAACTATAAATAAAATAATATTTTTATACTTTTATTGATATACCAATTAATATGAATGCTAAATATAATTTCCCACTAAGAGGAACCAGGACTCCTCTAAAAACTGGCTTATTTCAGGTCTGGGACAGAAAATGTGTACACTGGGCCTGGACATCTGGTCATGGCAGAGAGCACAAAAGCTACCAGTGACTTCTAGGTCATGATAAAAGGACTCAGAGCCAATTGGAAGAAGCTGGCCCAATACATGACAGTGTGAACACCAAAAAGAAATGACAGTGGACTGAAACACATTCAAATGTTATCATCTATGAATTCATACTCTATTAAAATAAAATATTCTTGGTCACTTTTAGAGGATATTCGGGAACCAATTCTTTATTTTAAAAGTCAGATAATCATGCCCTGGCTGGTGTTGCTCAGTGGTTAGAGCGTCACCCCGCAGACCAAAGAGTTGCGGGTTCCCTTCTGGTCAAGGGCATATACCTTGGTTGCGGTTCATCCCTGGCCCTGGTCGAGGTTGTGTGGGAGGCAACCAGTCGATATATCTCTCTCATATCAATGTTCCTCTCTCTCTCCCTTTCTCTCCTCTTCCCTCTCTATCTGAAGATAAATGGAAAAACATCCTCAGGTGAGGATTTAAAAAAAAAAGTCAGCTAATAAAATAAAAGAATCACCCTGTTTTCCCTACACAGCCTGTACTTCAGACTAACCAAATAGTTGGTGACAGGAAGTTTCTCTTTATAGAAAATACTCCAGCAAATAAATAAAGGAATGATAGAATTAAAATATCAGCATTTTGCAATGATCTACTAATGGATTAATGGATCTAGGGAATAGAGAACATCAATTGACTGCCTCCTGCATGCCCCCCCTGAGGACTGGGCCCACAACCTGGGGATGTGCCCTGACTGGGAATCGAACTGGCGACCTCTTGATGCCATGGGTCAACGCTCAAGCACTGAGCCACACCGGCCAGGCTCACTTAATTTTTTTAGATGTAATAATGTCATTATTAACTTTTAGAGATACATACTGAAATATTTATGTCAGACATGATATAATGTCTGGGATCGACTTCAAAAGAATCCAGGTGAAGGGGATAGGGAATGTGGAGTAGGTGGAAGTACAGACGAATCAAGATTACCCAGCTGTTTATCATTGTTGAAGCTGGGTAATGGATGTTACAGATTCAACACATGATGCTCTCCACACCTTTGTCTATGTTAGAAATTCTCCATAATAAAAAGTGAAATATACAAACAAGGGCAAAGGCTTCTTGAAACAAACCCAAACCCTTCCCATCACTCTCAGAGTACCTCCAAGGCCTCACATCTTCCCAACCCTATCTACCATATTTCCCTCGTTCTGCTCAGGCCAAACTGCCTTCCTACCTGTTCCTTACACACACGAAGGTCAGTCTTCTGGGGAAGGAGACCAGGCTGCGGCAGGCTGCTCTGTGACCTCGAGCACGCTTCCTCAGGCACTCCGTCCCTTCCCTTCCCTTCCCTTCCCTCCCAGCCCCACCTGCCTCTTCTCTTCACATACTTATCACTACCTGCCTTCACCTTTGTATTGGCTTTTCCGCAGTAAAATACTAGCTCTCTGAACGCTTGGAATTGGACAATTGATTAGCAGGACTGATCTACTTCTGTAGCAAGATGTAATGCACTTACTGTTATTTAACTTTGAATATTAATCTGTGTCTATGTGTAGATCTGTATCCTGACCCTCTACTTGGCTCTACAAGAATCTTCATGGGCCCAGCCAGTGGGGTTCAGTGGACTGAGCGTCATCCCATGAACTGAGAGGCCTCAGTTTGATTTCTGGTCAGGGCACATGCTTGGGTTGCAGGCTCAATCCCCAGTAGGGGTCATGCAGGAGGCAGCTGATTGATGTTACTCTCTCACATCGATGTTTCCATCTCTCCCTTCCTCTTCTCCCTAAAATATCAATAGAAACATATATATATATTTTTTAAAGGAATCTGTCCTGGCCAGTTTGGCTCAGCTGTTGGAGCGTTGGCCTGCGGTCCGGAGAGACCTGGGTTCGGTTCCCGCTAAGGGCATGTACCTCGGTTGCGGTTTGTCCCCGGCCCTGGTTGGTTGTGCGGGTGGCAGCCACTCAATGTGTCCCTTCACATCGATGTTTCTCTCTCTCTCTCCCTCCCACTCTATCTGAACAAAAAATGGAAAAATGTCCTCGGGTGAGGATTAAATAAATAAACAAACAAACAAACGGAATCTTCGTAGTAACCCCACAGCACCTAACCCTACACAGTGACTCAATATTTGTTCACTGATTTTAGAACTATTAAGTTCTAAAGTATTAATGTATTATAGGAATAATTAAATTATTAGAATTGTCTAAATTCATCTACTAATGTCCCACCCCAGACTATAGGAATGAACTTAATTTTATACAAGCATTTCCCCTAAACTCTGTTCTTTACAGTTGTCCTTTACAAAATCCTTTTTTAAGTGTTCTGTGATCAAAGTGACAAATGACTTTTAGAACACGCTATATTTGTCACAATGGTGATGTGTATATGTTGAAGATTTAGAAGTTTTAGAGTAAAGAAGTTCGGTAATTTTAACCAGAATTTCAGAATGAACCATTGAATCACTTTCATTGTATAGCATATGTTACCATGCAGCAGAATGATGTTTTATGAGATACACTTTTAGAGCCCTATCCGGTTTGGCTCAGCGGCTTGCAGACCAAAGAGTCTCGGGTTCGATTCCAGTCAAGGGCACATACCTCTGTTGCAGTTCGTCCATGTGGAAGGCAACCAATCAATGGGTCTCTCTCACATCTAGGTTTCTCTCTCTCTCCCTCCCTCCAACTTTAATTGAAGATAAATGGAAAAACAACCTCGGGTGAGGATTTAAAATAAAATAAAATAAAATAAATAATACTTGTGTCACAAAAAAGAATGTTTAAAAAAAAAAAGAAACACACTTTGAGAAATACTGTATGTAAAACATAATACACAAACACTACATTAGAAGGCAATTATTCACCTTGTAAATATCTTGCTTTACTAAAGAGTATGCTATATAGTATAAAAATATCATGCTCCTTTAATACACTTTAAATCTGTTTTCAAAAGTTCAAGGACTAAAATTAATACATAAAGAGAGAAAAGCTTTTTTTGTTTGTTTGTTTGCTGTTGTTAATCCTCACTTGAGGATATTTTCCCATTGATTTTTAGATAGAATGGCTGGGAGGGAGGGAGGGAAAGAGAGAAAGAAACATCTATGTGCGAGAGACACATCAATGGGTTACCTCTTGCACGACCCAGACCGGAGCTGGGGATCAAACCTGCAACACAGGTACGTGCCCTTGACTGGGAATCAAATCCTTGACCCCTCAGTCTGTGGGCCAATGCTCTAACCACTGGGCAGCTGGCCAGGGCAAGAGAGCAAAGCTTTAAATTATTTTACTTCCACATTCATTTACATTGTTAACTGTTTCATGTTTCACTTTTAAAATACAGCCTTGGAACAAAACCAAAGACATATAACTTACTTTTTGGAAAGTAATTTAACTCCCATAAAAATAATAACGGCCTCAACTCCAAGAGCAGCAAGTATTATTCCATCATATAATACAGCTTGTTCTCGAGTCCAGGCATACATATCCATTGTTAACGGAGTGAGGATGCTGAGAAAACAAACAAAAAATTATTCTTATTTTATTTAAGGTCATTGTCATTGTTACCATTAAAGTTGATATAAAAGCTTTAATAATGCTATCGACATTGAAGAATTTGTATCCCTTTTAACAATAACATCAGATCTATACAAACAAAAATTTTAACACATTTTTAGCACTTTTTAAAAATTGATTTGAGAGAGACAGAAATATTGATTTGTTATTCCACTTACTCACACATTCAATGGTTGATTCTTTTATGTGCCCTGACTGAAGATCAAACCTGCAACCTTGGCCTATCATGATGATGCTCTAACCCACTGAACTACCCAGCCAGGGCACTTTTAGCACATTTTGATCTTACGTGTACAAGCTAAGTTTAGGTGTTTTTGTTTTTATATTTTATTTTATTATTATTTTTTAATCACCTGAGGGTATGATTTTTTTTTAAATTGATTATTCGAGGGGAGAGAGAGATGTGAGAGAGAAACATCAACTGGCTGCCTCCTGTACATGCCCAGGGATCAAACCTACAGTCTTCTATGTACAGGACAACACTCCAACTAACTGAGCGACACAGCCAGGGCTGTGTTTTTACTTTTTAATTTTATTTTTTTAATCCTAACTCGAGGATATTTTTCCATTAATCATCAGATAGAGCAGGAGGGAGGGAGAGAGGAAGGTGGCTGGAGAAACATCAATGTGAGAGAGACACATCGAATGGCTGCCTCCCACAAGACCTGACTAGGGCCAGGGATGAACCGCAACTGAGGTATATGCCCTTGACCAGAATCGAACCCGCAACTCATTGGTCTGTGGGCCAACGCTCCAACTGCTGAGCTAAACCGGCTAGGGTTGTTTTTATTTTTTAACATTTAAGTCTAAAGTAATATATCCACATTGCAAAAAATTAGAAAAACAGGAAAATAAAAAAAACAAAACTCACCATTCTAACATAACTCAATAATCATGGTATAAATTGGTCTTTTTTCAATGATATAATGTTACTATTATTAGTTTATTAGAATCTTCTGGGATTTCTTTGTTCTTCCTCAGTCTCTTTCATCCCTAACTTTGAATGTATATACAGGGTGTCCCCCAAAAATGTATATAGGGTCTCTGTAGGTTCTATTACATTTTGAAAATGAAATGTGTTTTAACAAATTATAAAAGTAATTTTATAATTACATGTTTTTTGTATATACATTTTTTGGGACACCCTGTACTTTTCACCCTGTCCCTCTCTACGTGTCTCTTCCTTTACATGACTGTCTTCTTCCTTGCAGTCTTCTTTTCCTACTTTCTATCTCCTTCTGTTAACTAGCTACAAAATGGAATTGAAATATATTTAAACTATTCATTCCTTTTTTAGAGAAAAGAGCATATTACCCTTTTAAAAAATATTTTCATTGATTTCTTTTTTTTTAGAAAGAGAGGGAAAGAGAGAATGAAACATCTATGAGAGAGAGACATCTATCTGGCTGCCTCCTGCACACCCCTGACTGAGGACTGAGCCCAAAACCCGTGTACATGCCCTGCTCCTGGAAATAGAACCAGTGACCTCTCAGTGCATGGGATGATGCTCAACCAACTGAGCCATACCGGTCAGGGCCATATTACCATTTTTTTTATCCTCACCCGAGGACATTTTTCCATTTTTAATTTAGATAGAGTGGGAGGGAGAGAGAGGAAGAGAGAGAGAGAGAGAAACATCGATGTGAAAGGGAGACATCGAGTGGCTGCCACCCGCACGACCAACCAGGGCCGGGGACAAACTGCAACCGAGGTACATGCCCTTAGCGGGAACTGAACCCGGATCTCTATGGACCGCAGGCCGACGCTCTAACCGCTGAGCCAAACCGGCCAGGGCTATATTACCGTTTTTAAAATTTAAAATCAGATGAGCTGATGTGGAGTATACTTTGGTGGTTTCTCAATAAGTTAAACACAGAATTACCATATGACCCGGCAGTTCCACTTCTGGATAAAACCCAAAGCAACTGAAAGCAGGGGCTCAGACAGACACCAGGACACCAGTGTTCCTCGCGGCGTATCCACAATAGCCAAAAGGTGGGAATAACCCAAATGTACACTGACAGATGAATGGATAAACAACACTGGTATATTCATACAATGGAATATTGTTCAGAACGAAATTCTGACACATGCTACAACATGGATGAACCCTGAAAACATCATGCTAAGTGAACAAGCAAGACACTAAAGGACAAATGTTGTATCATTCCACTTATATGAGGTACCTGGAATAGGCAAATTCATAGCAAGTAGAACAGAGGTTCCAAGGGCCACGTGAGTGGAAGTGGAGCCTTACTGTTTAATGGGTGCAGAGCTTCTGTTTGTAATCATGAAAAGGGTTTGGAAGTGGATAGTGGTGATGGCTGCACAACACTGAATGTACTTAATGTCACTGAACTAACTGTACAGTTGAAATCAGTTAAGATGGTAAATTGTGTTATGTGTATTTTATAATTTTTAAAATGTTCAAAAAATCAGATGAGCTGAAACTTTCATATCTCAATAATTTAAAAATTTTTTTAATTAAGAAAATCCACATGGACTGGCATAAAAATGTTACACTGTACTGATAATGGACTAAGCAAATGATATCACATATTCTGTTAGTTTAATATATACACACCCCCTCTCCCATACTTTTAATTTTCTAGAAAAAATTGTTTGAAAAAACACACTGAACTATTAGCAGTGATTACCTCCAAGTAAAGGAGTAAGTGTGGAAATACAATTGTAGTGTTTGGAATATTTACAAGAATATACTATTTTGCCTTGGCCGGTTTGGCTCAGCAGTTAGAGCGTCAGCCCGCCAACCAGAGAGTCCCAGGTTCAGTTCCCACTAAGGGCACGTGTCTCTCTCACATCGATGTTTCTCTCTCTCTTCCTCCCTCTCTCCCTCCTGCTCTATCTCAAGATAAATGCAAAAAAATGTCCTCGGGTGAGGAAAAAAAATACATATACACACATATATATACACACACACACACACACACACACACACACACTATTTTTACAATGGAAAGGCATTTTTTTTAAAGCCATTTGATAAGGTCACGAAGCCTACACAAGGAAGAGATTTTGTCATGTATCTTACTAGGCTTTTTATTGGGATCAGGGCTTTAAAAGAGTTGAAATTACCAGGCTGAAACCCATCTACATATGCAGGGAGTTATGTAGCTTAAAGTGTAATGATGAGAAAGTTTTATAATTGTATTTATCATAAAACTCAGAAGAAAGGGAGAAACGCTATTGAAACATTTCTTTAAAAGGAAGTAAGACATGGTGGTATGATTGCAGACCAAATTAACTATATTTAAATTTATAAACAAAACATTTTCATCATGACAAGAAAAATGGCCCTGGCCAGTTTGGCTCAGCAGTTAGAGCATCAGCCCATGGTCCAGAGAGACCTGGGTTCGGTTCCCGCTAGGGGCACGTACCTCGGTTGCAGTTTGTCCCCGGCCCCAGTTGGGGTCATGCAGGAGGCAGCCACTTGATGTGTCCCTTTCACGTCAATGTTTCTCTCTCTCCCTCCCACTGTATCTGAACAAAAATAAAAAAATGTCCTCAGGTGAGGATAACAAAAAAATAAAAAAGAAAAGAAAAATGTGTCTTACATAAAGTTGTTGAGAACATCTATGTGCTTGATTAATAATGCATTAAGAAATACAACTTGTTTACATAATCTGATGTAGATGAAAACAGAATAAAACTTACGTTTCAAAAAGGGCAAAGATAAATAGGACCACGAAAAACAGAACATTGGTAGTCACAACAGCAACTTGATCGATACTTCCCTGGGGAACCTGAACTTCATCTGTATTTGCTGTAGTGAACAGGAGAAAAATTATATTACCTACATGTGTTATTTTTATCATCACACAAAGTGGACATTATATGTAGCAAATTTCATGACTTAACATTTAAAATCATTTTTAGGCTTCAAAGCAATTTAAAAGGAACAATTTATGTAATAGAAATAACTTTTACATGGCATTTAAAAGTAAAGTAACTTTTCTTCCCAGGAAATACACTTCAGTTCTGTCATCTACAAGAGATACTCTGATTGTCTAGTTGGTGTCTCAATCCAAAAGAGGAATGTATTATACAGAATTCTATAAAATGATCTCATACTAAATACATCTGCTTTAAATTTCAGTTGCAGGGTTTTTTTTCTATCTTACCCAAATCTTAAATTTATGAGGATTTCATGAAGACCTAAAATATTTTATTAAATCATTCTCAGTTCTATGATGCACTTCAATGAAAAAAAAAAAATATATATATATATATATATATATATATATATTTTTTTTTTTGGTTAATCCTCACCCAAGGATATTTTTTTCCCATTGATTTTTAGAGGGGGAGAGAGCGAGAAACAGAAACGTCGATATGAGAGAAACACATCTATTGGTTGCCTCCTGCGTATGCGCAGACCAGGGTCGAGATCAAACCTGCAACCCAGATACATGCCCTTGACCGTGAATGGAACCTGAGACCCTTCAGTACAAGGGCTGACACTAACCATGGAGCCACACCAGCCAGGGCAATGAATATGTATTTTATTTTGAAATTCAATGGTATGTGAAATCAGTATTAGTAAATATCCTTATGTTATTACCAGTCCTTATGTTATATTTTTGCAAAGAAATATATTTTGCAGAGAACTACCAAGTTAAGATGGTTTTTCTAAATTAGGAGGACAAAGTGAGAGTAGTTAAGCTACACACTTAGTACAAACTAAATATGCCTGATATAACTGAGAAGTGTGAAGCCACACAGATCTTAGATACATCTGTCATGCTGTTGTACTCTGGGTGAACCAGGTAAGTAATACGAGGATGACTTCATTTGTGCTGTCTAATGCATGTGCAGCAGCGCCGGGGGCAGGCAGGGACTTTCCTAAAACACAGTAGTTTCTACAATTTTTTCATAATGGTACCTGCCTTTATTTCTCAGCATTTCTGAGAAAGAGTTCCTTCTCTGATTATATATGAGATTTTGAAATAGTCTGCTATACTTGGGGAAATTAAGCAAGCACCTCGAATACTCAACATAGGGTAGTGACCTCCCTTTCTAATCACACAAAGAAAACTATAAAATATTCACTCTTTGAAAACAAGACAAGTGATTTTTCGCAATGGTCTTAACCCTGGCAATCATGAACCTAATAACTGATGTTGGTATGCCTTTTTTTTTAAAAATCAATTTGGGTAACTTTCAACTTCGAAGGTCTTCTCTCAGTCACCCCTTGTATTGTCCTCAGAAGCAAAATCCAAGTAAATACCAACGGAATCATTAGAAACACTTTGATAATGTTATAGTAATTTATCAAACAGGTTAATAGTACCTTCTTCAAAATTAACACTTTTACACTGTCGTCCTGAGTCATCCACACGATGTTCTCTTAAAAAGAAAAATATAAATACTGTATCCATGAAAGGCTTAGTATAATAGACAAGTCATTTAAATTTATTACTGGCCTTATATCTTTCACATTCTGATACATTTTCTTTTACTGGCTTATGAGTTATAAAACTATTAGCAATGAGATACAATAAAAAAAATTGTTAAAGATACTAGTCATGATTCTTATCATCATATAAAATGGGGGGGGGGACACAAATTCATCCAAAAGCATATGTGATCAGTATTTGAAGTTCTGTGATTTTTAAAAATTTATTATTATTTTTTAATATGTCTTTATTGAGTTTTTAGAGAGAGAAAAAAGGAGACAGAAACATCAATGTGAGACAGATGGGCTGCCTCCAGCACGCCCCCTACTGGGGATCGAGCCCACAACCCACTCATGTGCCCTGACCAGGAATTGAACCGGGACCTCTCAATCCATGGGACGATGCTCAATCCACTGAGTCACACGGGCTGGGCATCTGCAGTTATTTTAAACAGTAGTTATAAATGTTTTTGGACTGTTGGTTAAAGTACTCTAAAGAAATATAAAGTAACCAAATTTCTGTAGTTTTATAAAATTTCTTCTAATATATAAAAGATAAGAGATATATCTGAAGTAACTTTTGCATTTAAAGTTGATACTAATCATTAATCAACATACCTACAATTAGTCAATCAAGACCAAACCTTGACTCTTCAGAGACCTTAAATGTGTTCTCATTTATCAGATTGTCTATTTTTTTAGTTACATGTACGTGCATTAGGTAATCAAAAAATAAGAACGCAATTATAGACATCAAATACCAAATAAAGGCTTTACAGGAATAATTATCCTCCAACAATGATAATGCTTATTTAATTTCACAATCTACAAAAGCAGTTTTATCATTTCTATCTAATTACCTTAATATAATAAGGATCAGAATAATATTTAAAACTCCCAGGAAGGCGCCAAGGAGAACGGGTGCTGTATACATGTTTATCTGAAGCTGTATTGTCTCCCATGTCACGCCCTTTTCTCCAATGAGTGCAAAACAGGTCTGAAAAACTTATTAAAATAAAATGTACACAGATGAATCATTATATGGGAGAAACAAACTAAAAAAATGTGAAAGACATTTACCACAAAATCGGAAGTAACATGGAATCATTCATCTGCATCACGCATCTCAAGAGAGGGAGGAAAACTGGTTCTGGATGAGGAGGCAAAACATCTACTCTTTCTATATACAGCAACGGTACATAAACAATATACAGTATAGCTGTGGTGTTAGAATTTCATGGGGTGAAGTGATTAGGAAAAAATATCTAAAAAGGTTCTTAAGAGGGTCAATAATGAAAAAAAGTTTGAGAAACACTGATGTACAATAATTCACAAAGGATTATATCTAAAGCAACTTGTCAGTAACTTCATTTTTTAAAAAACATCTCCATAAAAAATATAAACTATACAGTTTCTTACATAAACCATTTGTAAGTTTCATTATAAGAGAGACAGTGTCGCATTTTAAGTAAATATTTTAAAATATTACTGTGTATGTGGTATTTAAATTATATGTATTTAATATTTGAAATCTTGCTTTGAGGCAAAAATCAGATTGGAAGAATACTGATTTGCTCTCTTGATTTAGATTCTGTATCTGGCTTTTCCAAAAATGTACATGTAATTTTATGGTGAGGACTAAGTAAGATACTCCACCTGGAGCACTTAGAACAGTGTCTAGCACGTACTCACTAACTGTTAGTGCTTGTCGAAGTGGTTATTATCAGGAGAGTCATCTAATCTTTTCAGGCCTGCATTTACTCATCTATAATACAAAATGTTTAGATGAGACCATCTTTAAAATATGCTTTAAAATATGCTTTAGGTGGTCAAAGTACTGACTAAGAACCTACGTGTATACTAGGTACTGTGCTAGATAATGAGGGTAGAGTAGTAAATTAAGAAGACCTGGACTATGCCCTTATGTATTTTATGGCAGTACATCCAACTTCTACCTTTGTAGAATATTCTATAAATATAAATAAAATATTCTGTATTTTACTTAATGCTAAAATAAAATATCAGACATTGGTGGATGCTGAATTAGATTCTGATCTGTTGAGCTTGTTCATGGTTAAATAGAAGTAATGGAAACTGGGGTGAGTGTGGCCTGTTGATGAAGTAAACTGGGTGGGATTCAAACTAATTACATTTGCAGTTTCAATTTTCAATGCATGAGCCAATTATATTGTTTCAGTGTTATTCTAGGCATAAAAATTACTAATTTCTCAATTCAGTAAAAATTAATTGGCCTTGGGGGGGTATTAAATATTACAATTTCTTTTTTTATCAATCCTCACCTGAAGATATATTTTTTTCCATTGATCATCAGATAGAGTGGAAAGGAGAGAGACAGAGAAACATCGATGCGAAAGAGAAACATGCACAAGCCTCACCAGGGATCGAACTGCAATCGAGGTACATGCCCTTGACCTGAATCAAACCCGCAACTCATCGGTCTACAGGCCAGCGCTCTAACTGCTGGGCCAAACTGACCAGGGCCGTTACAGTTTTTTTTATACTTGGCTAAAGGATGGAAGCTTTGGAAGAGGAAGAAAATACTAAGTCTTTTTAAAATTCATTTTCTTGCCCTGACCGGTTTGGCTCAGCAGTTAAAGTGTCAATCCTCGAACTGAAGGGTCTCGGGTTCAATTCCCAGTCAAGAGCAAGTGCCTGGGTTACAGGTTCAATCCCTGACCCCAATCAGGGTCGTGCAGGAGGCAACCAATCGATGTGTCTCTTTCGAATTGATGTTTCCTCTCTCTCCTTCCCTCCCTTCTACTCTATCTAAAAAAACATTGGAAAAATAAGCTCAGGGAAGGATTAACAAAAAAATAAAAATGAATAAAATAAAATTCATTTTCTTCAACCTTAGAAAAGTCTTAAAGATATGGGTAAAGGGCAAAAGGGAAAAGAACCTCCTATGACTTTCCTTAAATCCTTCAAGTCAAAACTTATTCTTTCTAATAAATAGGAGAAAAAAGAAAACTCTTGTAGCAAGGTCAAGCTAAATAAATATTTCACAGAACATATACTTTGGAGTCAGAGAGAGTTTGGTGTGAACCTCAGATTTCCTATTTATTATCTGGCTGACCTTGGATAATTAGATTCTTTATGCTTTGGTGCCCTAATCTATAAAAAGAAACTAATATCACTTAACTCAGAGGATAGAAGTTAACATATATACAGGGTGGAGCAAAAGTAGGTTTACAGTTGTTCATATGGAAAATAAAACAATAATAAGTAACAATACAAGAATAAACTCTGATTCGAGTACTCACAAATGTACACCTACGTTTGCCCCACCCTGTAAAGAGCCTGGTCTGATTGGTGGATCCAAAAATATTAGTTTCCCTCCCTTTCCCTTCAGCTATGAAGGTGAATACTTAGATTTCATTTAACATTTGTTTTTTGTTTTGTTTTTTTATCTTCACCCGAGGACATTTTTCCATTTTTTGTTCAGATAGAGTGGGAGGGAAAGAGAGGAAGAGAGAGAGAGAGAAAGAAACACTGACGTGAAGGGACACATTGAGTGGCTGCCTCCCGCACCACCCAACCAGGGCCGGGGACAAACTGCAACCGAGGTACGTGCCCTTAGTGGGAACCGAACCCGGGTCTCTCTGGACTGCAGGCCAACGCTCTAACCACTGAGCAAACTGGCCAGGGCTAATTTAACATTTGAACCTCAAAAGTTTTCCCAATTCAAATTCAAGTAATTATAAGTGAAAGACAAACACCTACCTGGGCCTAGAATAAACCCTAACGCTTGGCACGCACTGGTGTCTGCCATGGAGCTCGTCCTCTCCTGGAGGGTAGTGGCGCCAGCAATGTATGACCTGACAACTGCCACATTCCCTGAGAAGAGACACAGTGAGAGAAAATACCCTCCAGTTCATAGAATTCTGATTAAGTTTATACAGAGGAAAGAGTAATCTATAGTATAGTCACTCCTTATTAATGATCATACAAAGCATGTGTATTGAGCAAATGCATCAATTAATAGAAAATATTACTTTCAGCAATATGAAAAGTTAAATGTAAATGAATAAAAATGGCATTATAGAAATGGTAAATACTGAGAAAGCACTGGGTGAATGGCATGCAACAGTTGCTACAACTGTTTTTAAAAGATGTCACAAACTGCATGCTTAGACCTACAATATAAGATATTGAGAAAGAAATCCACTAATGATTGAACTCAAAAATTTACTGAGCACTTATTATGTATAGGAGACTTTGCTAGGGGCCACGGAATATTTTTAAAAAATCAAATTGTCTCTAATTATAAAAAATGTACTGTCTGGCTGGTGATACAAGATAAAAACAGCATATAATAAGGGGCAGGGTAGCCTAAGAAAGTTCACGGAAGATAGGAAACTTGAACTAAATCTTGAAGGATGAAGAATGCCAGGAACAGAAGAGAAATTATAAGTAATAGGAACATCATGAGAGGAGGCAAAATGATAGGAAGGTATCTCTGTTTGCAATCACACACCTGTATGTTGAACCGTAGGATACGAAACCAAGAAGGGGCAACACCAGGTGAGATTAGGCCATAAATGTCAGGATGAATGTGAATTTGACACAACCACACATACACACATACATGCATATTACCTGCTCCAAATCCCACCAATCCACGAGCAACCAACATGTAGTATTTATTGTGAGAAGCTGGGACGTGCACATATGCATAGAGGCAGTTGGCTGCCACCGAAATGAAGATGGAGACAATGAGAGGTTCTTTTCTCGGTCTATAATTAGACCAGAAGCCAAATACAGGTGAAGCTACCATTTGGCCAAGGCTAAACGAAGCAATAACCCATCCCAAAAAACTTGTATCAGCTGTCTTATCAATCTGCAAAAAAAAAGTACAATGACTTAAGAATTATTATTCAAAAGTCAAATGTAAAATATAAATGCATTTTTCTGACCATGTAATATTTATTTAGAAAAATAAAAACAATTTGAACTAATATAAGTTTTGTAGCACTATTATTTATAGTGATTCAGATTTCTGACATTGCATTTAAATGTGCTAACAATTCATTATACACAAGGACAAATGCTTGGGAAACTTCATGTTTTGGAATGATTATGGAAATATCTGGTTCATAAAAATCTTGTTAAAGAGATAATCACATTAACATCATAAAAATATGCCATTCTTTAATTCATTTTGTTTTTTTTCCTCACCCGAGGATATTTTTCTCTTTTTATTCAGATAGAGTAGGAGGGAGAGAGAGAGAGAAAACATCCACGTGAAAGGGACACATCGAGTGGCTACCTCCTGCACAACCCCAACCAGGGCCCGGGACAAACTGCAACCAAAGCATGTGCCCTTAGCAGGAACCGAACCCGGGTCTCTCTAGACCGCGGACCGATGCTCTAACCGCTGAGCCAAACCGGACAGGGCCATTCTTTGATTCTTATAAGTAGGATTATGTTATTCTATAAGCTAAACAACCATTAGCACTGTAAATCATTGTTTTCATACTGGGCAAAATAGTCAAATGCTTAAAGAAGACAATAAAAACACAAAGGCTGAAAGGTAGTTCTCTCACTAACCCTATTACTAATTCTCCCTTTCAACAGACAATTCAGGATTTGACTTCTTCATGAGGGGCTTATATGCCCTGGCCGGTTTGGCTCAGCGGTTGGAGCATCGGCCTGCAGTCCGGAGGGACCCGGGTTCGGTTCCCGCTAAGGGCACGTACCTCAGTTGCAGTTTGTCCCCGGCCCTGGTTGGTCTTGCGGGTGGCAGCCATTCGATGTGTCCCTTCACATCGATGTTTCTCTCTCTCTCTCGCTCCCTCTCTCTCCCTCCCGCTCTATCTGAACAAAAAATGGAAAAATGTCCTCGGGTGAGGATTAAAAAAAAAAAAAAGAGGGGTTTATATATCATGATGAGCGTTGAGGGGAGAACAAAGGGACTAACATTCACAAAATGCAGTACCTTCAGACAATTAAAAAATTAACTTATGAAAGGGACTATGGAATAGTTTTTAAAAATATGGTAGGCTATATAGTAATTTGGAAAAATAAGAACCACTAAACTTTAGGAAATATGTTTTAACATATATTGGTTAAGTGGCAGAACAAAAGAAAAACCATGGCTTTTTCTAAAGATATTTTTAAACAGCTTAAAATGGAAATATTTAGGTATAATTTGGGGGTGGGGGGTTAGAAACAAGAGTAAGGATAATGATACATAATATTTGAAGTTCTAGCCTTAAAAATATTTTTCTCAGCTCACTAGGCATTTAATGTTTTGGTTTTTTTTTTGTCACAGATGTTTTTCCTTTTTTACCCGATCAATTGCAGTTTATATTCAATATTATGTTGTATTGGTTTCAGGTGTACGGCATAGTGGCTAGAAAATTACATACTTTGCAAAGTGATCTCTCCAATATTTCAAGTACCCACCTGGCACCATACATAGTTATTACAATATTATTGACTATATTCCCTATACTGTACTTTACATCCCCATGACTGTTTTGTAACTACCAATCTGAATTTCTTAATCCCTTTACTTTTTTTTTACCCAACCACCCAGCTCCCCTCCCCTGTGGCAACCATAAAAATCTCTTATTTTAGGTACTCTGATTTTTATTTTCTATCTGTATTACCTTTAGCTCCTTTTCTTCTCTCTCTTAAAATATAAAATAATTTTATGTCGTATAAATTTTAAAGTTAATTTTCCAAACAGCAATGAAAACTCGATTTTAATGTTAAATATGTAGTGACTTGAAAGCAAAAGGATAAAAGTGTCCTCTCAGTATGTCGATGGATCATAATCGAGTTTCCATTTCATGGACAGAACTGAGCTGACTCTTGTGGATGGCACTAACATTTTCTGGAGACCACTGGAAATTTTTATTTCAGTTGGGTACTATTCTTCACATTGACTGGAAAACTGGAATTTGCTAGAATCCTAACAGGAAAGTAACAACAGAAGGTGTTACTTCAGTAACTGACCTGTTACCTGCACTCATGTGTTTTTCTCTGTTACAATAATAACAGCATCTCATTTTTGGTCACCTCTGATGATCTCTATCATATTTTCAGGATAAAACCTAACTCACAAGCTGGCCACTGTCTCCCTCTCTAACTTCATCTCTCAGCAACTCTCTTCCCCCTTTTCTACCTTCTAGCCAAGTAGAACTGTTTGAAGTTTCCAAAATGAGCCACCTCTTTCGCCTCCCAGCCTCGGCACATGGTCCTCTATTGCCAGCAATCCCTTCCCAATCTCCTACCCCTTGGCCCCCCTTTGCCTTCAGATGACTGACTTCTGCAGGCCTTTAAAACGTGTCTTCCAGGATCTCTTCAGTTTGGAGTGGCAACATCCCCCTATCGTGCATGTCTGTCTATCTGTGTCTGTGTGTATGTATGTCCATGGGTCGTCTCTTCTTTCTCTCTCTCTCCCCCACACCCACACATTTACTTTTAAACATGTAACCACTTATAATGTCTGGTTATCATCTGTGAACATGTGTGGTTTTGCACTTCAGTGAAAGCTGGATCTATGGCTCCTCTAAAAAAAACAAAATACAAAGTGCATAGTATTGTATTTCAAGACATTGTTCTCTAAACATATTAATAAATCAACAAAGCCAAAGTTCTAGAAATCTCAATGTTCTGCTATGGGAACTGAGATATGAATAGAGGTGTTCTAAGCCTCCTCAATAATTTACTTATAGATGATTGCGTATTCAATTTATAGTACTGTGGTTAAGAGTCACGTTTTGGTTTCAGATAGGGTTGGCTCTGCCATTTTTAGCTGTATGACCCTGGGCAAGCTACCTAACTTCTCTGGGGCTAAGTTTCTTCAACTGTCAAACAGAATGATGAGAGCCACTTCACAGGGCTGTTATGAAGATCAAAAGATGATTTAGGTAGTAAAAGTTTAGTACTGTGCCTGGCACACAGCGACCTCCTAATTTTATTATGAAATAATTTGATAAAATTAAATTTTTTTTGGTGAAAATGTTATATCTGTATTGCTAAAGGTCTAGTTATAAGTTCATGTAATCAATACATTTATCTTTGAAGAGCTTTCAAATATCTAGAGATATGAGTGAACCTTTTCAAAATTCAACATACTGGGCTGAGTAGACCTAATTGTTGCAAAATATCTTCTTTTGAGAAGTTTGAGGTTAAATTACACTAGATACAGGGACCATACAGATCAAGAGCTGTGACACATGGAAATCAATTTTTAGTAAAGATGCTGCTGCAGAATTGTTAAACATTGTTTTAACTCTGCAGGTAAATAGTTTTTAGTATCATGGGCAATAATTTTTAAAAAATTTTATTTACTGGTTGATTTTAGAAAGAGAGGAAGGAGGGAGAGAGAGACATCGATTTGTTGTTTCACTTATTTATGCACTTCCTGGTTGATTCTCACACGTGTGTCCTGACCAGGGATTGAACACTCAACCTTGGTGTATTGGGATGACGCTCTAACCAACCAAGCCACTTGGCCAGGTTTTGTTTTGTTTTTTAGGGAGGGGGTACTGATAGGATGCAAAAGTGCACGTGCCTGGGAATGCCCAGGTACGATCACGTTTTCCTGGTACAGCGCTTTCAGTCCTGGTGTTCCGGTGTGTACAATAAAGCACATGACTGCTTTACGCAGAAGCTTCTATTGAGCAATGATTATCTCGAGTTATTCTGGTAAAAATTAAATCATAGAATATCAAAGAGACTAGAAAAGTTTTAACCACATAAGAGTTAATACTACTAAAGCTACTTCAGAGAAGAATAAAGTGTACAAACCTTTTGGAGATAGGGCCATATTGACATTACCACAATAGAAAATCCTGTAAAGAGGTAAACTCTGTTATGTATACTTACAGTAATTCCATTACTATTTATAAATACATTTTTTAAACTACAGCATCGATTTTAAAATATAATTCTTAATTTACAACTTTATGCCCACAAATATTAATATAATAAAAGCCAAGTACCTATTTTTCCTTACTCACAAGCCTTTTATCAATGGAAATTATTGAAAACTTTAAGTTTTTATAGCAGAAATGAATGGAGGAAAGACCATTTTGTTATAGAGGAAGTGCTAGACTTCTAATCTGTGTTGTGTGGGAGAGATAATTAATTGTAGGGAAGACTAGGAAGAAATAAAATGATTATATAAAGGGGGCAGTGGTTATAAACAACCAGGATACTGCCCTGGCCAGTGTGGCAGTTGGTTTGGCATCATCTATGCACCAAAAGGTTGCCGGTTCGATTCCCAGTAGGGGGCGTGCATGAGGCAGCCGATCTCAATGTTCTGCTCTCACATTGTCGTCTCTCTCTAGAAATTAATTTAAAAAATCTTTTTTTTTTTTTTTTATCCTCACCTGAAGACATTTTTTGATATTTTGTTCAGACAGAGTGGGAAGGAGACAGAGGGAGAGAAACATCAACGTGAAAGGGACACATCCAGTGGCTGCCACCCACATGACCCAACCAGGGCCAGGGACAAACTGCAAAGGAGGTACGTGCCCTTAGTGGGGACCAAACCCGGGTCTCTCCAGACCGCAGGCCAACGCTCTAACCGCTGAGCCAAACTGGCCAGGGCCATTTTAAAAACCTTAAAAGGAAAAAAAAAAAAAAGAACCAGGATGCTTCAAAGATGGCCATACCTTAAAAGAAAATTCATTATTTCTGTGTAGGCTTTATTGATTGAGAACTGTAATGATAATAAACTCCAGTGCTATTTGTCAATTTTAAATGTTAGGCACATACAATCAATATTTTATAAAGTCTTTTTTTTTTTTTTATCCCTACCTGAGGACATTTTTCCATTTTTTTGTTCAGATAGAGTGGGAGGGAGGGAGGGAGAGAGAGAGAGAGAGAGAGAGAGAGAGAGAGAGAGAGAAACATCGATGTGAAAGGGACACATAGAGTGGCTGCCACCCGCACGACCCATCCAGGGCCAGGTACAAACTGCAACCGAGGTACGCGCCCTTAGCGGGAACGGAACCCGGGTCTCTCGGGACCGCAGGCCAACGCTCTAACCGCTGAGCCAAACCAGCCAGGGCATAAAGTTTTGTTTTTTTTAAAGCTTTATTAAGATATAATTTACATACCATACAATTTACACATTTAAAATATACAATTCAATGGTTTTTAGCATAACCACAAATATGTGAAACCATCACCAAAGTCCACTTTAAAATATTTTAGTGAGCTCAAAAAGAAACCCTGGGTCCTTTAGCCTATCCTGCCACCCTCTAGAACAGTCAAACTCATAGACACCGAAAGTAGAATAGTAGTTGCTAGGGGCTGGGAGGATGTGGAAATGAGTTGTTGTTAATAGGGTAAAGAGTTTCAGTTTCGCAAGATGAAAAAACTCTGGATATGGGTTACACAACCATGTACATATAATTAACACCTCTGATCAAGATGGTAAATTTTAAGTTATGTGGTTTTACCACAATAAAAGTGAATTTCTAAAATTACGTAACTTCTAATACTTACCTACACTGCTGAGAAACATAGTAAGATACAGAATCCTAATAGATCTCCATCGGCTCTTATAATGCTCCTGAGTCTCTATAATATTCCATTCTCTAGGTGTAAAGAAGAAAGAAGTAGTACAAAGTTATCTCATTATAGGCAAATCTTTCTGTTCCACACTTTTACTTTCTCTGTCCTAAAGTCATAAAAATTATATGACAGAGGTACAATCTGCTAATATTGGTTTTTGCTGTGCTGATCCATTTATTTATAAGCATTAGTTCTTTGAATTTCCATGGGTTGTATTTATCCATCATTGTAAAAATGTATTATTTAATAGTGTTCAAATTTGTTAAACTGACAAAATGATTAAAGTTTATCAAAATAAATCAAATAAAGTAGCTACATTGATTAGATCTCCCATAGGTGGGATATATACCTACTATTTAAAGATCGTTAGTGTCATCATTATGACGTGCTCTACTTGATGATAGCAAATTAACTTTGCTGCAGGAAGCTATTTTGGCTGGGTAATTTTGGCAAAATTCATGTAGAAGTGACACCAGGAAGGTTTGATATGACCTAAGACGTTCTTAGCCTGAGATCTGGAACACTTCACTTGCCTTTGCTCTAACAAAGATTCTAATAATGGGCCACAGAGAGACCAAGACCCCTCCAGATACGCCCTCATATACGCTTTTCATATACGCCTGTGATCTGGACTAAAGGGCAAGAATATTAACCAGACATCTTCCCTCTGTCGGGTGATGTACATCAGTATGTGTATTCATTACATTTTCACATATGCATAAGGAATTAACAAATTTACCTTAATATGAGAATTATGTTTCCAAATAATTAGACAAGCAAAACAGACAAAATATTTTCTGATGTTCCAAGATTATTTTCTAAAATATACTTTAGACTCAAATTAGTCTTCAAAAAAAGAAACTTTATTTTTCAAATGTGATGCGACTGGAAGTGGTAGAGGGAAGGAAGAAGAGAAAGGTAAGATCTACTATGTGCCAGGTATATTAAGTCAGTTCCTGATACAACGTACACATGAAGTGCTTCACACTATATATGCGTTACATAAAAATGAAGAGATCTTTAGGCCTTAATCAAACTCCCATGTTGTAAATACACACGATTCTATCGAGCTTATATATGGTTTTCCAACTGGCACCAAAGTAGAAGTACCAAAATAAATGGGAGACCATTGCTGAGAGCAACAAATAACAAACAGATAACAAAAAACACGATGAGGGACAGTCTGCCAAGAACAGAATAAGCAAAAACTAAAGACTCAGACATAAAACTTTAAAAGTATAGCAGTATATAACAAATTAGTATAGAAGCAAATAGTCCAAAATGTCTCAACAGGCTGAGAACATCCCTCCATTAAAACATTATTTCAGCATTGATATTAACTGTAATCTCATGGTAAAAATGCCTTACATATATTGTCTAGTAAATCAGGGACTAGAGAAATACATTTTCCAAAGAGTTTCAAACAAAGTGGTTCAAATAAGGTGTGGCGCTTAAAAGAGCCAAAGAAGCAAAAGTTGCGGTAGACAGCTTTCACTGTATTAATTTACTCGATATTCTATGTGTCAAATAAAATGGTACTTAACTCCGTTTTCCTAAAGGCAAAAATACATCATTGCACAGTAAGAGACAAACTAACAATTCTGAATGACTGTCCACAAAGTAGGAGCAAAAGAATCAGAATTACAAGGGTCAAAATACACTTCATCTCTCCAAGGCTAAAAAAAAAAAAAAAAAAAAATTAAATAAACCAGTCTGTATTTATATATTTGGCACAGGACAAAGGTGAACCCACTTCAGGCGGGTTCACTTGCTAACGCAGACTCGGGCAATGAGAGCGATGGTGAGAGCGTTCTTTCCAAGCACCACCACCATCATCTAGCAGTTTGTGCGGAACGTGCGGTGTTCGGCTCCGCGCGAGGCCCGCTGCAGAAGGCTCCGGGGGGCGGTCTGACTTTCCCAGACGCCTTCACCGGAACCCGCAGGCTCACCGACCGCCTCCTTCTTTCTCAGCCGTGGGAGACCAACTTCCGGTCTCGCGCCACCGGCGGCCGGCTCCCGCCGCCCTGGCACCCCTTCTTCCGCCCCGCCTGGCTAACGCCGGTCCCACTGGCGCAGGAAGGTTAGGGGGCCTTCCCCCACATCCGCTCACCTGCTTCCGGGTGGGCGGTCTCCTAACAGCGGCTCCTGCTCAGCCGGGATCCCCCGGCCCGCCATAGTGACTGCACCGCGAAGAGGAGAGGCTAACTCTCGCGACACCTCGTGCTCCTTCCCATCCTGCAGGGCCAAAGCTGTCACAGCAGTCCAGTAAGTGCGCGTGCGCGCCCGGCGGCCAGAGTGGGCGGGGCGCCGAGAGGTGGGCGGGGCGCCCGAAGAGCTGCTCTGGGATCACGCGGAGCGCGGGGCTGGGCGTGAGTCCCGGACGGGGCTCTGTGTCCTTGTCCTCCTTGGCTCCGCGCCTCTCGGACACGGAGGACAGCTGAAGAGAGGTCGGGGCGTGTCCAAACGGCCACACCGCCCCAAGTTCTTGGGTTTCCCCGGGCTCTGGTCCGAAGCCCGAGCTCCTGCTTTCCTGGAAAGGCTGCTGCCGCTGCGGTTGGCGCGCGGACGCAGGGCGAGTCCCGGGAGACAAGGCAGCGGCGGTGCTGGGAGACTCGGCCGACTGGACAGCAGGCTCCCGCCTAGCGACCAGTAAGTCGCCGGTCCGCGCCGCGGTCCCCGAGCCTCTCGACGCGCGGCGTACGTGCCAGGAGTCAGGGACTGGGGGCGCAGGGCTTGGCTGGGGACCCGGGGTCCGGGCGCGCTCTGGCTGTCCCGGGCGAGGTGGGCTCGCGCGCGGCCCCTTTACTCCCGTGGAAGGTGTAAGTGGCTGCGCCCTCTTTTTCTTGCTCGGGTCCCTTACAAAGGCACTGCCTAGTTAGGGCCCGGATGATGGGGTCCAGCCTCTGCTAACCTCCTGATCCCCAGATCTGCACCCCAGCGCCTCCTGGGGTCCTCAGCAGAGCCTACTGCTGTAACCTGGGGGTTAGAAAAGGCACTGCAGCATCTTAGATCTTGATGCTCTTTCTTTCCTGGTGCTTACATATTAACATCTGACCCCTGCACGTAGGCTTGTAAGCAAATTGGTAGCTGTAGTCATGTGTGTCGTAATTACTGTTTTATTAATACTAGGGCATTTTTCATGTCCTGTGACATTTTTATTTTCCATAGAACTAAGGTCCAGAGAAGTTAATAACTTACCCAGAGTCACTTGGTGTGGTAGTGGCAGCATTGGACCCAAATTCATTTCTTTTCAAACAGTATTTATGAGCACTTAGCATATGGCAGGCCCTGTGCTAGTTATAGGTTGCGTAGTATATGCCATCAGTTCTGATCTTTGTCTTGTCTGTGACCTTTGGTGTATCCTGTCAAATGCACTCCACTGGTGAACAGTGAAACTTGAAATGTTTTCTCTAAGTTCAGAATTATCTTCTGAATCCAGAACTGACATTTTGTACCTGGATTCAGGCTTGCAAATTTGTTAACAGCTCAGAAAAACATATCAGGTCCCTATGACTGGCGCTAAGAAAGTCCATAGGTAAAATAATTAGGTTGTTTTGTTTTGCCATGTTACTTTACTGTATCATCAGCTTCTTTTTTAATCCCTGGAGTCTAGTACACTAGTACAATGTATGATGTGTGTGCGCACATGCGCACGTGACAAGGGAATTTTTTAACCACTGAACCAAGCAGAATGGTTGCTAGTAGAATTACTTCATTTCACCCCTACAATAATCCTTTGAGGTGGGATTATCTCAAGCATTCAAGGAAATTGAAAGCATGGAGATTAAGTAATTTGCCTGGGGTCACACAGCTAATAAGCAGCTAGAGTCCAAGAAATACAGGACCCCTGACTATAAAGCCTGTGCTTTTCACCACCAGCCTTCCTGTGAAAAGAATGTAAAGAAGAATCTTTTCCAATATCTCTTAAAATGTATCAGAACAGGTCATCAATTTTTATATAAGTGAAATAATTTGCTATTATGTATTAGGCCAAGTATTATTCCCCTTTTATAGGTTAAGGTGTCTTACTCAAGGTCACATAGCTAGTGGAAGAACCCAGGTCTTCTGACTGCTATTTTCCATTGCTGCCTCCAAGTGATGACTTTAGACCACAGAAGTACATGGAACGAAGAGCACGTAAACCTCGTGAAATCTAAATAAGCTCTCTGTATTGTACCAATGTAAACAAAGAAAAAACAAAAAATTATTTCTTGGGAATACATATAGCACCCAAAGTAAACATTTTTTTTTAAACCTTTGAAAAATTGTATTTTTAAAAGCCCTTGGAAAAGAGGAGCTAGGTTTGAAAAGAGATTAGATTATTTGTTTAATGTTTCACATAGGATATGAGACAATCCACCTGATGCGTTAGTGTCCTTAGACAACTGCTTAAAGTAGATATTCACCCCTGAAAACAAATGAACAAATACGCTTCTAGTTTTCCTACTCTTCTCCTGTATAAGATTAAAAAGAATTGAATTTGTTGAGGTAGGCTAATAGCTTTTAATAATGTGTATCGGGTTATCTAGACACATTTTTTGTTCCTTAAACTTGTATTGAAAATGAGTGATTTAAAAGTAAAATTATAAGATAAAAATTAGATCTGCATTTTTGTGGGGCAAAGTACATGGTGGTATTTTTTAAAATTAATTTATGCCTTTGAGATAAGTGTGAATATATATATGTGTGTGTGTGTGTGTGTATGTATCTGTGTGTATATATATATATGTATGTATGTGTATATATGTATATATATATTGATAAAAGTCCAGAAAAAAATAGGGTTGCATTGTTTAAATGCTCAAGTACCAGAGTGACAGGAGATAAAAGTACTAGATGGCATAAGAGATGTTGAGTGCCACTTTAGCAATAGAGCTCATTTTTAGGAAAGGCTTAACATTCCTTGGCACTGTACAAGAATTTCTATTTTTGTTTCATTTTGTTTTTCCCTGTCTCATTGGCTATATAAAAGTATAGGCAACAATTATGCCAGTTTGGCTTGATACATACTTCAGAAGTAGCTCCTGTTTCTGCAGAAGCTCACTGCTATCAGACTAGCCCGATGTGGGGGCTTTAAGTATCTGGTATGGCTCCAGATGGTGGCTCCTTTTGGTACATTGGAGTTATCTTTACCTTGGGCTTGGATTAATATCTCTTCGTGGTGGCACTGGATAGCAGTTAGCTCTGCCTCGAAAGATCTACATGTTTAGAGTGTCCCAGAAAATCTGGTGTTTTTACATTGTTCTTGGGACTGAAATGGGATTTAAGAATATCTGTGTAACCCCAAACTCCAGAACCAACTATAGTAAGTTATATATGTTTGATTTATTTACTGTCACTCATTGACCAGGTGTTTACAGCAAGTGATATACCAGCTCTACATTTGAAGTGCTGACTCTCATGGCCTATATTACATGGAATTAAAGTGATTTGGGAGGCTATTTGAAGAGTTCATTGTTTTCAGGTTCTCTCCTGTTTCTCTTGCGATTTTCTACTTTTATATGTTTGTGTTGTTTTTTATCTATTACCGACCTAGAAGAATAGTAGCTGGAGACATGGTGGGATGCCCCATGACCAATTTAGTCAAATATGAGGTTTGGGATTTGTTTTGTTTTGTTTTGTTTTGTTTTCACACTAACATGGAATTTGCATATTGGCGTTGATGCCATAGATGTTGCAAAGGAAGACATTGATCCCTCATCCTTTTCCTGCCACTGTAAAGAAAATAAGTGGACTATAAATACTTCCAAAAGATAATGAAGTTCTGTGTTATAATGACGTGTGACTGTTCAATTGCAGTTTAATAAATGTACACAAAAATGTATCCGTGCTATTTTTTTTTTTTAACAATTCCAGAATGACCCTATGAAGTGTCGCCTCATTAGCATAAAAAAGCACTCCGATTGGGAAATTGCAAGGGTTTTAGGAACTAGGATTAAAGACAAGATGCATTCTTTATTATACAACACTGACATTTACCCTTCAAGAAAAACCTAGTCAAGCAATTTAAACATATGCTACATATAATTCCATGATTTTAATGATTGCCCTAAAGAACAAATATGTATAATGAGGACAGTATTTCAGAAGCCAGTTTGCCTTTTACCATTTGTTTAATGAATAAGAAATAAAATACTAGGAGATAAGGGTTTCTATTTTGTTTGGGGGATTTTTTTGTTTGTTTATGTGGGGGTTTTTTTGTTTTTGTTTTTTTTTTGTTTTTTAATCCTCACCCAAGGACATTTTTGGATATTTTGTTCAGATAGAGTGGGAGGGAGCGAGAGAGAGAGAGAGAGAGAGAGAAACATCGACGTGAAAGGGACACATCAAGTGGCTGCCACCCGCACAACCCAACCAGGGCCGGGGACAAACTGCAACCGAGGTACACGCCCTTAGCAGGAACCGAACCCGGGCGTCTCGGGACCGCAGGCCGACGCTCTAACCGCTGAGCCAAACTGGCCAGGGCTGTTTATGTGTTTTAAGTGAATGAAAATATATACATGGATTTAGACACATTTTCAAGAGCTCACTTGTTTATGGGCAAAGGTATTCAAGTCTATGGAATTTATTTTGTTTGTGTTTCTGTTAGTAGTAAAAGGGAAGAAGGTAATTGTCACTTCTGGTGTTGAAAGCCCACAGGGGGTCAGCCCAGATATTCTACTCAAGTGCTAAAAAGTACAATTGGTTTCTCTCAGTGTGGAGGACCTTTCTCCCAGGTGGTCCTCATGCCCCGTCCCTGGGAGTCAAGCCTCTGTGTACTTCCCTCCCTCGAGGGCGGGCGCTCCTGTGCTTTGCCTTCCAACAACAGGATATGGCAGCAGTGATTGGATGTCACTCCCTGATTGTATGTTATATGGCAAAGTTGATGAGATGACACTCCAATGGTTACATTAAGTTATGTAAGGCCGTCTGGCTAGCACAGTAACCCTCATTCTCGTGTTGACCTTGAAGAAGCAAGCTGCCATGTTGTGAACTTCCAGTGGAGAGAGCCATGTGGTAGGGAGCCACGCAGCGCCGAGGAGCCGAGGCCAGCCTCTGGCTGACAACCTGAGTGAACTTGGAGGCAGGTACTTCTCCATTCAAGCTTCCAGATGAGAGCAAAACCCACCTGACACCTTGAATGAAGCCAGATGAGACCCTGGGCTCTTGGAAATGAATCCTCATGAAGGAGAAGAAGATTGCTTTTAAGAGATTTGTTCTTCACATT